AAAAAACACAGTCATCCAATGTCACGAACTTTTGTGAGTGTGAGTACACGTTTGTTTGTTTCCTGTTGGTTTTAGAGTAGTCACTGATAGTATGACGAATACCAAAATTCCTCTAAATGTGTTACTGGTAGTCTAACTAAATGTTTGCGTATGCAAGTTCCATATCTTCTTGATTCGATTTGTATGACAACAACGGTAATATAGTGCATAAACGTTTGATTGAATTACACCATTACGGCTCCATATCCTGAGGGGTACTCCAGGGGGAGGGTCCCGGGAGGGTGGCCTGTCGAATCCAATTCCTTTGGCGGGAAATGCGAATGACAGAAAATGCTCTTATTGGAGCAGACAGACGACCAACATGAATCATGACGTCTGCATACCCTACACGAGGGTTAGCCCGGTGTCACGGTAGATATGGTTCCCCTAGCGGAATCGGTACCATGACAAACTGTCCGACGTGTTTAGTGTTCTCAACGAAGAGTAGAATTTTGCGTTTCCATCACTGAAAACGGGACGAAAATCCACTTGTGTAACAATTTAGTTTAAAGATAAATTTAAGTAAGAGTGATTGGAAAATGTTGATTTTGCTGAGCGCCAGAAGTTTCAGGTCTTTTATTATTATTATTATTTTATTATTAAAGCAAAACATGAGAATCACATATTTACAAGATTCGATAAAATGAAAAAAATACAAAATACCAAAAAAAGAATACCAACAAGAATACCCCAAAATATTGAAATATATATTAGAAGAAAAAAAAGGCAGACATATGAAAGGAGGGTCTAGTGTCAAGTCTGACATATATGAGCGCTGTACAAGAACCCACTTTAATTACTATTATTTTGTTGTAGCATATAAATATTGGTGTATTCTATTGGGTTTGTGAATTCAACAAAATGATAACGAAGACATTGTACATCTGCACCTGACTGCACCTCAACAGTACGACAATACACCTGGCGGTGGCCTGTACTGCAACTGAAGAAGAAGAAAACAATGAATGGACGTCACCAAGTTCGTCCGGCAGATTTTATGAAAGTACACAAATCTGCTTAGGAACAATATCTGTCGGGAGCACTGGTAAAGCCTGAGGCTAGAGACATGCACCTGTGCAGACTCGTAGAAAGACGACTTGAAGAAGAAAAGAAAAACGTCCCTCTAAATACGTTATATTTAACTCCTAAACTATGTTTCTAGACATTTTGTTGTTATCAGATGAAGACGATCCCAGTCGCGTAATCTTGTTTCTCCTTGGAGAAAAGGTTTGTCATAAAAATCGTGAAATTTACCGAAATCAAATCATTTTTGTTTGCAGGAGGTATGACTCCAACTGACATGTACCTGTTTTACTTAGTAATAAAGGACGGGTCAAGAAATGAAATGTCCACATTTCTTCATGTTTTATCCCTCAGTTAAAAACAATAAACGAGCACTTTAAAAAAAAGTTTAATACATTATTAACATGAAATATCTCCGCACATCTTCCCCATCCCCAGTTATAATGTTATTCTTTATATCTTAATAGGTGAGGCGGTAGCAACATCATCTGTGTCATTTTCATTTGTTGTATTAGTATCATTCTTTTCACATTTCAATCACCATTATCACCCTTGCTGTTATATTCCTCTCCCTTTTCGCCCGTGTCTTTACTTCCTCTTTTCACCTCGACCATTTATGTTGTAAATATGATCACCGTTGTACATACAACACCGTCATGAAATTGTCACTTCCGACATCGTAGGCTTATTAACTCGCGCATTTCCGCGCATGCGTATACGCTAGCAGGATGCGAGGTGAATGAAAAGAAAATATGCTCAATTGAAAGCGGAAGGGATCTCTGCTTTTGTTTGTCCTTCATTAAAAAGTGGAAATGCATATTATGGGGATAGCACGGACGGATAGGGGAGCGGGCGGGCGGTCGAACATTTTGTGACGTCATCGTTGCCCCCATCATCTGAAGTATGTTCGCTGGTTTATCCGGCGCCGCGTGTGCGCTGTTAGAGTGCATGGTGTGGCGCCACGGGTCGCAATCCGGGGAAATCGCCACTTGAATTCCGCCGCTGTCACACAGCGCGGGTGATTGACGTTCCCTTATCTAGTTGACACCTATAGGGATGAAATGAATATTGTCTGAAATAGGTCGGGTGAGAGATGTAAAGACAATCAGGGAAGATTTGAGGATGAAGAAAGTGAAGATCGGAGAGTGTTCGATTACAAACATGGACAAGAAGATGAAATGCTATGAGTCATAACATGACTCGGGACGAGAGAGAAGATGGAAAGAGACTGACATACAGAGAGAGAGAGAGAGAGAGAGAGAGTATGTGTGTGTGTGTGTAGAAAGAAAGTTGAGAAAGAGGGGGGAAGAGTGAGAGAGTGAGAAAGAGAGATGGAGAGAGAGAGCAGGAAGAAGCTCGTTGGTTAAGTGTTTACAATATTGTCTTTTACCTGCTTGTTTCAAATGACTCGAACTATTCACTCCATAACAAACTTAGCGTAGCATGTTTAGTATACACTTCACCTAAAAAAAACCGAATAAATTCATTACCATCATTATAACCTTTATGTAGTCTGACATTGAAATACAGGAAAATGAGGTTGACGTCGCTTAGCAGCAACAAACTAGTATATCATCAGAAAAGGTGTGGGTTATAATCGAATGTGCAGTCTGCGTTTTGGTTATTACTCATTCCCAGTCCTGTTTTCTTTCCTTCATTCCGAAATTGAAGTTGAAATGAAAGAGGTGAAGTCTTCGAAATATGTCTGTGAAGCATCTGCTAATAAAGCGAGGCCGGACGATCCCTATTCTTCCGCAAATTAGCAAAAACGATGCCAAAATGAGATAACAATTCGAATAATCGTCTACTTATTTGACATTTCTCGGGAAGTTTCATTGATGAGGTAGACCAGTGGTATACCCTGAGCCCAGCCATTTAGGGGGCCTCTGCTGCACATGGAAGGGGGTGGGGGCTGTATCTCATCGAGGGCGATCCCTATTATTCTGCAAATTTGACGGATTCGATACCAGGTTAAGATAACAAGTCAAGTGACCGTGTGCTTTAATATTTGAATTGTCTGGGGAAGATTCATTTATGAGATGGACCAGTGGTGTATCATGACGTCAGCAAAGAGGGAGGGGTGCGACAACAGTGTCATGGGGGGGGGGTAGTCTTACTAGTCGTATGAAATGTGAATGAACCATTGTGAAGTGATGGGTAGTATCGTCTTCCTTGCCTTCCTTCCCCCTTTCTCCTATCTTCTGTCCCCTTAATTCACAATTCGAGTGTGTGTGTGCGTGTGTGTGTGTGTTGGGGGGGGGGCACCTGGCTTGTAGGTGGATGTTGTTAAAATCAGATGAGGTTGCAAATTGAATCGTCTATTTTCTTTAACCTCATCTCTCCTTTTCGTTATCTGCCTTTTCACAATTCGATGTGGGGCACTTTCCCCTGTGCCGTCCCCGGTTCGATGGTACGAACTCGTAGTGGATGAGTCACCCGCTGATAGTTGTCAAACATGGTTAACATGGAGATGAGACAACGGTCATGCTTGGATGTTCGGTCTCCACCGATACTTCCACAACTCGCCCTTTTCTTGGCAGCCTATCTTTCCCCCTTTCTTTATTTTACTTTTATTGAAGAGCGAGAGTTCAGGCCTATGGTCAGGTCCATGAACCTTTAGGTCACCGTCCCCGTTGTTTTTGTACAAAGGTAATAGGAAAGAATAAACCAACTGCGACATATTCAGAGAGTGATTTATTGAACAATTTCTTATTTCAAAAATCTGAATATTTGCTTGAAAATGGGAGATTAGATTTGGTCATCGGGTCTCTTAACTTTAGATCACAGTCCGAGTCTTCCCGAGTCGATGCCTGGACTCTGCAAACAATGGGGCAATTTGCTCGTTGTACTGTAAGTCACGTCATTGATCGGTTGTCATCAAAACGCTTGTATCATATTACATATTCAACATTAATATCAAATATTGACTATTTTCCATCAGCTTTACTTTCACGTGGTACGTTTTTACAACTGGGTTACTTGTATCTTATTGGTTTACTCTGAATCATTTTTATACCAAGCCCAAGGGGTTTTCCTCATTTCTATCAGACACGAACTATCTTTACGTCTTCAAAAATTGAATATGACTTGAATGCGCATAATACAAGGTCAGACCAAATGAGACTGATCATCATGTCAATTTATGCACGTATACGGACCACGGCCTTGGCGAAGTTGGCGCCTACTGTTCGGAGTGCATTCACCCGAAAGTAAAATATCGACATGACCTTCATTAATATTCGGAGAGATTGACCGAACTCGTTTCACCAACTCAGCAGAATTTTGTTCGGTTTTGTTTGTAGTATGTTTTGATTTATTCGTCTATTCCCTGGGATTAGATACATAGCCTCGCGATGCGACGTTATATTGTTAGAACACGAGGTTATACATAAGCACATGAAAGAGTAAGGTTGATTGTTATTTAGCACTGAAGGGAATTGCTCCCTGAAGTGAAATTAGAGATACATTAGAAGAGATGGGTGACCTTTGACCGTAATGTAACGAGGATAACCTGTGTGTGTGTGTGTGTTCTTGAAATAATTGAACAACGTATCTTGTCTCGTAATAGATCCTTCCTATGACTATTATTTTCCTATTTTTCACGAGATAAAACTTAATTGATTCGAATCAATTTAATTGAAAAGAACATTTATTTCCTTTTCAGACATTTAGTTTGACTTGTAAACATATTGAAGACGAGGACACCGGCTTAATTGGGAATATCATACAACATCCCATTACACCATGTGTACAAACAAAAATAAGAAAATAAATATGACCACTGATGACGGGAAGGAGAGGAGAGAAAGAGATAATATATATAGATATCTTCTGTCGGGAACATGAAACAGGTTATGATTATACTCTGGAGATGGATTTAGTGGTGGCTATTTTTACCTGACTGCTAAGAAAGCATAAATGCTTGTTCGTAAGCAACAATGGGAACCGACGGCCGAAGGTTTCTCCGAGGGACCTGGTAATGAGGATTAATGCCTTACCAAAGGGCACTAGCGCATCGACTTGGTTTAGACCACTGCTCTACCTACAGAGCTATCGCGCCTCCTATTTACCACCGATTTAAGTCATTATGAAACTATAAAAAACGCATTCGGTTGTAAAAAATTTCAAAAGGAGAAAAGAGAGAACAATACAACCTTTTTCTACATATAGCCATAAAAAGAGAGGTGAAGGGGTGGGGGAGGGGTGGGAGGCAAATGAATGTGTCATAAAAACTTGGAAGGGAATAAAGTTACATTTGCCGATAAAAGTTTAGCTACAATGTGACGTTAAAAAAAGAAAAATCGCTAAATATCCGTCCATCCATCTGCCTTCCCATCCCTCTTCCCTCTCTGTCGCTCTCTCTGTCTCTGTCTCACTCTTCCTCTCTCTTTCTCTCTCTCCCCCCCCCCCCCCCCTCTCTCTCTCCCCTCTCTCTCTCTCTCTCTCTCGCTATCTCTATCTCTTTGGCTACCGAAATGCATCACGTTTGTTCATCAGATATTTCATCGGGTCATCATATTGTAACAGGATATACAAAATTTCAATCACAGTAATAACAATTCATGTTAAATTGTTTTGTTTAACTGTTTTGCAATGATGTCCTCGTACCAAAGCGGATATCGAACGTAAGGCATATTTGTTTAGCCCTGGTACTGTTGTTTTCAGTATACGTGTTATCGATTCGTGTGCAGGGTATCCAATCCTAGTTGCGATGAATGGAGACTGTTATGATTTACCGTATTTAGATCACTGATCTATATTTGTGTGTAAACGTGATTAAATAGATTGATAGCAATGTAATGATAACATAAACCATCTAAAATACATTCCCTTTTTTTGGTATAAGGGCATCGCATCTCATAGCGCCTGCGTCCGAGGATTGGAAACAAGGAAATGTTATTCACGTCTGACTCATCATCCTTTGCTTTAGCTGTGTAACTTAACAGACATGAGAAACACTGTTAATATCCCCTGTCACACTGCTGAAGAGACTCTAGACTTACCGCCAATCGACGCTAAATTCTTGGTCAATTTATAGGGATAATGTGATATTTATTCGGTCTATTATTGGTCTAAATCGACGGATACTAGGCCATTAAGGGTAATTTAAGTTTTGTTTGTCCTTGGCTATCTTTCATAAATGCAGCTTTAAGCGCAACATAAAATTATACTTGTGATGATGATGATGATGATGACTGAAAGCAGCTTAACGTTTCAAGCTAATCAGCATCGCCATTTTGTTGTTGTTGCTTGCGTTAGTTTTTTCTTCTTCTTTTTTTAAATTTTAATTTGCGCTTCAACGCAACTTTTTTTTTTATACTGGCGTCGGTCCCGTCTGTGTGACGGGGGATGAAACAGTGACACACAAATGACACAAGATATCCTAATACCACGTAACGAGACAAATTTCTGGGTGTTTTTAGCGGATTATTGGGCGGATGCATCAGGCGCCGAGTTGTTCCTGTCCCTTAGCTAGTGGTAACCAATCTGCACCCTTCGAGACCCCAAAGTTCTCGCTCTAATGATTGTCACGACAGTGACCCCTTGAAAAAGAGTGTTTTATTTGTTTGTTTGTTTAAAAACATTTATTCGATTGAGAGAGTTTTTTTTGGGGGGGGGGGGGGCGAGGTATGTTTGCTCGTATGTTTATTTTGAGAGTTTTGTTTGATTTCCTCAAATATGAATCTTCTTCCGTTTGTAAATTTACAGAATACTTTTGAACATGAGAGTTTCTAACATCGTAGATTTTTTTATATGAATATGACTGTTGTTGAAAAACGATGATGAAAGGTTGGTGAATATTGTGATGAAGACTCTATTGTAAAGAAAGATGCTCGATGATGAGGACGGGCCTGGAAGAACAGCTATTCGGAAATTGTTACCAATTTGTCTGACAGTCTGCGGTTAGTTGATGAGAGAACAAAACTGGCATTCTATGGGAGAAACAATGATATCGCACCGTAAAGCGTTGATGCTATCTCCAAGTAAACCAGGCAACAGATCAATTCTTTCTTGTTCTTCAACTGTGCAGTTATCCATTAATGAATGTGAATGGTGTGAGAAGAACGTGCCATGGAAATAACACTTAGTTTTGTTAATCGATAATAAAGCAAAATTGACTACAAATAGATCAAATTTACGCAAACAATATAGTGAACTCACAGTCAGAAGGGGCCTTTTTGTTATGTGAGGCGGTACTCAATGAATTTATTAAGCTGATACATGGGAAGTATGAATTTAACACACCATTTCTCTTAACTTTTATCATAAATTAAATACAATCTAATATTTAAACACAATTGCAAATGATTTATATGTCTTTCTGTTTATTTATTTTCTCTTCCCAGGCTGCATGTATGTCGGGAACAGCAGTCCAACCAGATTCAACAGAATGTGCTGCAGGTCGAAAGTTACTGCCAACCAACCTTCAAACATTACTTCGCTCGATGTGGTGCTCCTAATGGCGAATACAGACTGTGTAGCAGATACACGTAAGACCTTCCTTTCATCTGATCTCTTTCAATAGATCCAATCGTAACCTTTCTTTGACATTTAATCAAATTATTAAAATCAACCGTGTTTGTAAACAGAGACTTTATAAGCGCAAGGTCATTTTAGTTTTACCATGTCTGCATGGAGATACAATAACATCTAATGATTGTTCATTATATCATCCATAAACATCCCCAGTTAGACATTCGTTTGACACCAACATGGTCACGGTCACGTGATGACTACAAGGTGCAGCTTAAGCCGTAGGTGTCAATAAGGCGATGCGCCATTGGCTCAGTAGTTGTTACCACGTGACATATGAACTCGAGGCTACTATGAATGTATGAAGGCGCCATAACACGCTAGTTGATTACTGTTATAGAGCTTCAGAATGTTTTTTAACACTATAATATAACCAGTGTAAGTGGAGTATTTCTGATTATCACCATTTCGTTTCTTTCTTTCATTTTAGAACCATGTACCACATGGCTTATCGTAGGAGATACGTCCCTCCTTCACCTGTCGTGGAGCGGTATCAGTGCTGCCCCGGATGGAGACTAGCTCATAAATATGCAAAAGGATGCACAGAAGGTAAGCTTAACATTTTGTCATTGGGTCATGGGGGTCGTAGGGGGTCATGGGGGTCGTAGGGGATCATAGTTGAATGTTTGAACTGTATAGTAGTGGCGTACCGCGGGCCCAGGTAGTGTATAGGGGCGGCACCGGTCATCTTGTGTGAATGAAATGCGAATTAAAAACGCCATTTATTACTGGAAGGGTGTGGGATGGGACGTCGTGTATTTGTGTAGCTTCTGCGAATCCCTTCTCTCTCTCTCTCTCTCTCTCTCTCTCTCTCTCTCTCTCTTTAAAGGTGTTTTTCTCATTTTTCGTCATTACATTGGGGGCATGTGCCCCCTCCCCCTGTGCTCCCCTTTAGCTTCACCGCTGACTCATAAACATTCAAGTGTATATTTTTTCGTGGATCGGGCTATATGGCTATGTATCTTTTTCTATTTTGTTAGTATACGACATTAGGTCATTGGAAACCTCTGCTAGAGATAATATGAGTTGAGAACAACAAAAAAACCTTCTGGTAAAAAATATAGTACAGAAAAAACATCGATTAACAGATCTTAAGAATAAAGAATTCAACATTATATATGTGATTGCTGAAGATGTATAATGCATAGCATAGGGGAATACATCTGTGAATTGAGTGTGTCGTTTTCTAGCTTAGCTCAATGCAATAATACCATAATACAATAATTCAGTAATACAATAATAAAATATCTCTTTGTTTGTAACAAGTATATCGAACTCAAAATCTGTTGTCCTACTTCCCAGGGAATTTGAGAAAAGTTAAAAAGTTCAGGAGATATACCCTATATATCAGGGCAAGGATTTAGTAGACGAGCAGGGTAATTCAGAGACAGACGGAAAACGTACGTACGTAAATGACTGAAGCCAGAGGAGTATGGCTGCTCCTATTAATACCGAGAAAAGTCCTTTCATAGTTGCGTTCGTTTTCTCATACTTTGGTTTGTTTTGCAAAAATGTTTTTCTGCGTAAAATGGAAATGTCCACAGGGGTCGATTACTCAGGATTATACAATATGTAACGTGTGTAAATGAAACTGTATTTTGATGTTATGCCCAAAACTTTATGCAACAACTTCATGCAACAACTTTTTACTTAATGTTGCACCTGTATGCCCTGATTGAGACGTGGGCGCAGGGCTAGAAATTGGAAACTCCATCTGAACAGATTTTGTGGGATTATGAAAGATGTTATTTGTAAATGAAAATGATTGCCTTGATTTCGATGTTATGTCCGAAATTCCACATACAAAATTGTCCGCTAATATCACCACCTGCAGATTCTGAAAGATGTAGGCCAATAATTTATTTTAAAAATCCTGAACCCCCAATAAAAGGAACTCTCGCTAGAAAGAATGTACGGTATTATGATAGACATTATTTGAAAATGGAGTGGTTTGCTAGATGTTGATATCATGTCCAAATGTCACGAAAAAGTTTTACGTCAATAGTCCCACCTGTGGCTCGTGAAAGGCGTGGGCCAATAATGCTTTGTTTGCAAACTCGTTTTTGTTCAGCTCCTATAACAATGATCTCTCAACCCCTTCATAAAAGAAAGTTTGCCGTGACAACATTGTAACTGAGAAAACTCCAAGACTGATCTTCACAAAGCTCTGTAAGCTTATCAATACCAGCGCGAGTGAAAGTGATACGGAACAGAAAAATGTAGAGAGAAAAAAAAGAGGGTAGTAGTAAACAGATCTCGCGATTCTAGCACTTAGTGGAATCATTGGATATGAGGGTAGATTCGATCGAATCCACCCCACTTAGCTCGTCTTCCAGTTCCTTTTCTTTCCGCTACCGAGTTCTCAAGTTCAGATGTGTCTTTTTTGGTTTCGCGAAACACTCTAAGGGGGCAAATAGAAGGATCCTAAAATCTGGTTGGATTGTCGTTTAATCCCTGAGGAATGCGAGGAAAAACATTGTATTTGACCTTGACTAAGCCCCTTGACATGAACGAAGACGTGAACGGGTGGTTGTGTCTCTTGTGTCCCTTTCCTCTTCATCAGCCTCTCCATAATAAAATTGTAAATTTGAGAAGGGAGGGGTAGGGGTGCAGCCTTGTACCCCCTTCCTCATGGAAAACGGGATACATAATATTACCTTTTACTTTCCCACTATTTTCATTCACTAATGACCGTCGGTTTCGCTACAAAATGTTAAAAGATGTATTACAAAATTATGATTGTCTTGAATCATGCATTAAATAGAACTGAAAAGAAATATATTATGGTCTACCAGGACACAGGATCCAGCCCCTAATTGGTTTGTATTTGTGATTAAACCCCATAGCTAATTGAAAATACTCTACCTTAGGCAAGGTCCACTACCCATGTTTATCCCCCATTGTTGAAATGTGCGAGCATTACAATTACGCATGGCATAATCAGAACATGATTTATATTGGATGTACACGAGGGTATTGAAAGTGCCCTTGATTGAGTTGATTTTTCGAAAGTCTTTGCGATCACGTTAATCAAGTTTACCAATAGAAGACTTATCGGCTTTGGAGCGTTAGAATTTTTTAAGGGAATGTGTTTCTATATATCTGGACCTTATACACTTCCTATCTCTCCCCATTATGATCTCGACTCAATTGCTTCATTTTAGGAGAAAAATATAAGTAGGATATGTCGGCCTATATTTTCACCGGTAGGATTTAGATTGACCAGGGCCCCGTCTTATAACGGTTGCGATTGATTGGAATCAATCGCTTCTTGAAATTTATCGAAACTTCTATATTTTAAGTACACAGTTGCGATTGATTAAAAGTTGCGATTGATTTGAATCAATCGTAACTCTTTACAATACAGGGCCCAGGGGGGGGGGGGCATTTCATGAAACAATTAGTCGGCGGTTTTCACCGACTAATATCATGTTCACCGACAATTTAGTCAGCGCTGACTAAATTTGACCAATCACAGTCCTGGAAAATAGTCGGTGATAAAAGATTTGTCGGTGAACATGATATTAGTCGATGAAAACCACCGACTAATTGTTTCATGAAACACTCCCCAGTTCTCTATACCGTGAGCGGTGATATTCATGACGTTTAAAGGTACTATGTCCCATTTGCAGGCCAAAAAAATGAAAAAGTTAAATTCCAACTGCATTTGAAAGATAATACTAATTTAGAACTTCCCTAAAAAAGGTGGGGCTTGAAAATGTCTTCAAGTGGGAAAATAACGACTATTAGTTGTCAAATCGACTTTAGAGCTATAGAGCCCAAAAGTAATAGTCTTGATTTTCAGACAATTGTACGGAATGGTCATACATTTTATGCTGCGCAAAGATTCAATCAGTTTAATCTTGGCCATCACAAGAAGTGGGTTATTGATGTAGACAAATGCTCATGTACCCTTTACAACTCTTTTCATGTATGTTATTACCAAAGAAGAAAAAAGCCAGTCAGTCACTCAATAGTGTCTGACAGTGAAGTCTAGCAAGTAAACGGGTTTCCTTGCATAATTTGAATATGAGGACACTGCTAACGTTTAAATTTCACAGATAGGACATACATGACATATTCATAATTCCTGCAAAGTTCTACAGCATTTGAGGTTGGCTGCAAAAGGGACATAGTACCTTTAAGACCATTAGGCCTATATTTAAAATCATAATTTGCAAAATGATACATATAAGGTTAGATCAGCCTTTACAATTTGCCAGTGTGTGGCTTAACGGCCTACTTTTATTTTGATTACAACAAATTCTGAACTGTGATGTTTTGGGGATTTTATTTGAGTATTAGAACGCTAGGAATGGGTTGATTGATTTAAAACTACTGTTGGTGTGTCGTAATAATGACAAATGCAGTAGTTATGCTCGGTAACGCGTATCAATAATGTTATTACAATTGTTGAAATGAAGCAATCAATGGATTTTTCAGTACATTTAGAATATAATAGTCGTTGTTCTGTGTGTGTATGTGTGAAATACGACCAATTGTTTGAATACTAATAGTTGTACGTTGTTTAATTACCTGTAAAATTGCCTGTGTATTAAAGCACATATTACGATAATAGGATTTAAACAAAACAAGGGTCCATCTGAATAAGTAGATTCATGATATCGATACAGATTTGTATGATTTCAAGAACAAAAGTCAGCTCTATTTATCATTTTACAATTCTTGTCGAAATATTATTGGTAGTTTTTTCCAAGGTTTTCCTTTGGAGCCTTTAACAGATCGTCTGTCAAGAAACGCCACAAATACATCGTAATTTTTGTTTTAGTATGATTTAGGATAACAAAATTGACACGTTCGACTCTATTGAGTGCTAGAATGACCGTGACGTCAACTACTTCGTATTGGACAGAGCAGATCACCTTGGCCTCTCCTATAAATTATTACATTTACGTTTTTCTTATCGTAATCAAAGCTTGTGTGCGTTTTTATATCGATGTAAATCTTTTATGTAATCGTTAAACCTTGCCAGTGAAGTTGACGTACCCATTTTGTGGGCTTAATAATACTTCACAATGCCCGTTGCCCAAGATTCGTCATTTTAATTGACGTGATGCTGCGTCAATGGCCAAGGAGGTCTTCAACGGGCTGTGAGATAGTGACGAATATAATGCAGAATGATTAACGCAACACTGCGTTTAACATTCTGTCATATGGGCTAATTGACTGCAGTTGCTTGATTGGCAAAGGTGATAACGCAATCGAAAGGGCGCCCCATGTGCTACCGGTACAACCCATTATTAATGTATTATGGTAATGGTGTCCTTTTACTCTCTCTCTCATTTTTCACAGCAATCTGTACACAAGAATGCCAAAATGGCGGGCGATGTTTGAGGCCGAATGCTTGCGCATGTCCGGCAGGCTGGACTGGTCAATATTGTGAAATTGGTAAGGTTTTTTTCTATTTGTTTAATTATTTTAGTTTTCGTTTGTTCGTTTGTTTGTGTGTTGTTGTTTTTGTTTCTCGTGTATTTGTATCGTTGCTATCGTTGGTGGTTTCGGTGTGTTTATTAAATGTCCGTATCTTCCGAGTTTAAAGTTAGTATTAGCTCTTACAGTTAGCCTAACGTGAGCCTTATGATAATACTTTGGCGTACGTTATCCACGACCATGGAATATTCTTGTGTTCAAAACATATCGCCTTGAAGCCCAAACTAAATGTGGAAGTCAAGTAATGTAAAACCAGAACCTTTTGCAAATTTTACATTTGGTCCGGATGCACGAAAGTTTCACGATAGAAAAGGATCGATTGACAACTCTAACCATGTTCAATTTGTTGAAATTTTCCACACAAAACAAAACAAAACACATTGCCACGAAAGCGGCCTTAGTTAACGATTCCTTGTTTCGTAGAAGCTCACATTATGATCACAAATTTGAGATAATTTATCATCAATGTCATCTTTCTCTTCCTGCAGATATAAACGAGTGTGAAGGCACCACGCACGGTTGCCAGCAGCGATGTGAGAACACGGATGGGAGTTACGAGTGTAAATGCCAGGTTGGGTTCACATTAGCCGAGGACGGTAAAACCTGCACAGGTGAGTTGTGTTCACACATGTACGATCTCATTATGAACAAAAACCAGTCGCAAAGTGTTTAATAGTAGCAAGTTTATGGGGGTCTATTCGCTATTCATAAGGACCGCTATTCATAAGGTCCGCTATTCATAAGGACCGCTATTCATAACGTGTAAATTCCCGTACTTCCGGGTCCGCTATTCATAATGGCAAAAGAGGGTCACTATTCATAAAGAAATAAGGTTCGTTAATCATAAGGACCGCTATTCATAACGTAAGATGAGGGTCGCTATTCATAATTCATATTAAGGGTCATTAATCATAAGGACCGCTATTCATAATATGAAATCAGGGTCGCTATTCATAATACGACGAGAGGGTCGCTATTCATAATACGAAATAAGGTTTATTACTTATAAGGGTCGCTATTCATAACACGGGAAGAGGGTCGCTATTCATAATACGAAATGAGGGTCGCTATTCATAATAGGAGAAGAGGGTCGCTATTCATAATAGGAGAAGAGGGTCGCTATTCATAATAGGGAATGAGGGTCGCTATTCATAATAGGAGAAGAGGGTCGCTATTCATAATAGGAGAAGAGGGTCGCTATTCATAATAGGAAATGAGGGTCGCTATTCATAATAGGAGAAGAGGGTCGCTATTCATAATAGAAGAAGAGGGTCGCTATTCATAATAGGAGTAGAGGGTCACTATTCATAATAAGAAATGAGGGTCGCTATTCATAATAGGAGAAGAGGGTCGCTATTCATAATAGAAGAAGAGGGTCGCTATTCATAATAAGCGTAGAGGGTCGCTATTTATAATAAGAAATGAGGGTCGCTATTCATAATATGAGAAGAGGGTCGCTATTCATAAAAGGAGAAGAGGGTCGCTATTCATAATAGGAGAAGAGGGTCGCTATTCATAAAAGGAGAAGAGGGTCGCTATTCATAATAGGAGAAGAGGGTCGCTATTCATAATAGGAGAAGAGGGTCGCTATTCATAATACGAAATGAGGTTCGCTATTCATAACAGGAGAAGAGGGTCGCTATTCATAATAGGAGAAGAGGGTCGCTATTCATAATAGGAGAAGAGGGTCGCTATTCATAATACGAAATGAGGTTCGCTATTCATAATAGGAGAAGAGGGAGGGGTGGGGTAGGCCACATGGTCCCAAACATTTGAAGAAAATATTTATTGAAAACTCACATTTCTGAAGAAAGAAAGGCGTGCCTAAATAATGAACGTGTCCCATCATTCCGGTCACCAGCCCCCCCCCCTCCCCCTGCCCCCCCCCCCCCTCTCCAATTCGGCCCACCCTCCCGGCAGTATTCTCAGTATGGGCCTGCTTGGCGTACTTAATATCTCAGTGGCGTATCCTGGATAAGATCAGTCGGGGGCAGGGTGGTGGGGCAAGATTTCCAACAAGGAGGAAAATTTACGATAGGATTACATGTGTGTTATGTTTTGCTTTTTTTTCGTCACCACATGAGCGGGGGTTGGCTCTATATAATTATCAAAGATAACAGATAAAATATTATTACTTTAAAAAGAGACAACTATTCAGGGCTATATATCGCCCCCCCCCCTACAGGACCAGGAACGTAGCCGAGGGGGGGGGGCGTATTATGAATAACGACCCTCATTTCGTATCATGAATAGCGACCGTCTACTCCTATTATGAATAGCGACCCTCATTTCTTATTATGAATAGCGACCCTCATTTCGTATTATGAATAGCAACCCTCATTTCATATTATGAATAGCGACCCTTATTTCTTATTATGAATAGCGACCCTCATTTCTTATTATGAATAGCGACCCTCATTTCGTATTATGAATAGCAACCCTCATTTCATATTATGAATAGCGACCCTTATTTCTTATTATGAATAGCGACCCCCTCCTCCTATTATGAAAAGCGACCCTCTTCTTCTATTATGAATAGCGACCCTCTTCTCCTTTTATGAATAGCGACCCTCTTCTCATATTATGAATAGCGATCCTCATTTCTTATTATGAATAGCGACCCTTTACACCTATTATGAATAGCGACCCTCTTCTTCTATTATCAATAGCGACCCTCTTCTCCTATTATGAATAGCGACCCTCATTTCTTATTATGAATAGCGACCCTCATTTCTTATTATGAATAGCGACCCTTTACACCTATTATGAATAGCGACCCTCTTCTTCTATTATCAATAGCGACCCTCTTCTTCTATTATCAATAGCGACCCTCTTCTTCTATTATGAATAGCGACCCTCATTTCTTATTATGAATAGCGACCCTCATTTCCTATTATGAATAGCGACCCTCTTCTTCTATGATGAATAGCGACCCTCTTCTTCTATTATGAATAGCGACCCTCATTTCTTATTATGAATAGCGACCCTCTACTCCTATTATGAATAGCGACCCTCTTCTTCTATTATGAATAGCGACCCTCTTCTCCTTTTATGAATAGCGACCCTCATTTCTTATTATGAATAATGACCCTTATGAATAATAACCCTTATGAATAACGACCCTCATTTTGCATTATGAATAGCGACCCTCATTTCGTATTATGAATAGCGACCCTCATTTCGTATTATGAATAGCGACCCTCTTTCTGTGTTATGAATACCGACCCTTTTGTAATATTATGAATAGGGACCCTTATGAATAACGACCCCGATTTCGTATTATGAATAGCGACCCTCTTCTAATATTATGAATACCGACCCTCTTCTTTGATTATGATTAGCGGTCCTTATGAATAATGACCCTTATGAATAATGACCCTTTTCTCCAATTATGAAAAGCGGACCTTATGAATAGCGGTCCTTATCAATAATGGACCTTATGAATAGCGGACCTTATGAATAGCGGTCCTTATGAATAGCGACATTGACCCAGTTTATGAACCCCGCCTTAACTAAAAATAATGTTGTTTATTAATCGCACATCCCGACCCCATAGATAGGCCTTCGTAAATGTATGATTGATTAGAGGACTCGCATTTGGGAGAGCCTTTTCAAAATGAGGCACATGTCATGTCTGTTCAAGAGTAAGTATGATAGAAATATGTTGATTAATTACAAATTTAATTTTGAGAGTATAAAGCAAGTTGTGCCTTAATTTGAGTCTCTTTACAACAATGTGCAATTTAAAAATGATCACACTATTATAAAGACGATAGAAATGTGGATATGCTTAAAATATTACGACATTATCCTTAAAAGGGTATTTCAATCGCTTTTACTGACATTCAATTCAATCAGTATAAAAGGAAATCATGAAGACGTAAGGGGAAGTTTGATACATTTCTTTAACCAAAAAACAATCTTTGAATTCTTGTTATTTGTTGTTTTTTGTTTTCAGTTTGCCTAACCTGCACACCAGAATTCGACTTCCTACTAGCACGGGTTAATTTATTAGAAAGGGTAAGTCAATGGTTACTATGACAACGGTCGGGTGATCTCAGGCTTTCTTATCTGACCTTGACATCGAAATAAACACCATCGCAAAGACTCTCAAGAAATCAACTCAAGGGCAATTTTTAATACCCTTTGCATATTCCATAGAAATCTTGTTCAGATTTACTTAGTATGTTATATGTCATTTTAATGTTCGCACGTTTCAAAACGTAAGTGAGAAAGTTGAAATTGCCCCAGGCCAATCTGAACTTTTACCATACCAATCAACATTAGGTAGATGCGAGTCCATCTTTGTGTCATTTTTCAAGTCAATAAGAGATGCACAATCATTTTACTTTGCAAGTACGAAAAGGGTGAAAATCATGTTGGGCTTCAGTTCAACAACAGAGGGAGACATTTTCCTATGCGGAGATAGGGGATCAATTTTTCGTCACCAATCTCACCTTGTTTTAATCTTTTCACCCAACTCAACTTGTTTTAATCTAAAAAAAAATTATCTCAACTTGTTTTAATCTCAACTTCCATTAATCTCGTCACACATCTCAACTTTTTAAAATCTCGATACACAACTTGACCTGCCTTAATCTCGTCACCAATCTCGACTTGTTTTAATCTCGTCACACAACTCGTCTTGTGTTAATCTCGTCAGCCAACTCAACTTGTATTAATCTCATTTTGTTATAATCTGAACTTCCATTGATATCGTCACACATCACGACTTGTTTTGATTTTGTCACCCATCTCGACTTGCTTTAATCTCGTCACACATGTCGACTTTTTAAAATCTCGTCACACATCTCATCTTGTTTAAATCTCGTCACCCATCTCAACTTGTTTTAATCTCGTCACCCATCTCAACTTGTTTTAATCTCGTCACCCATTTCAACTTGTTTTAATCACGTCACCCATTTCAACTTGTTTTAATCTCGTCATCCATCTCAACTTGTTTTAATCTCGTCACCCTCTCAACTTGTTTTAATCTCGTCACCCATCTCAACTTTGGATAATCTCGTCACCCATCTTATTTTGTTTTAATCTCGTCACGCTCTCAACTTGTTTTAATGTTATCACTCGTCTCATCTTGCTTTAATCTCGTCGCCCATCTCAACTTGTAATCTGGCACTCATCTCAACTTGTTTTAATCTCGTCATCCTCTCAACTTGTTTTAATCTCGTCACCCATCTCAACTTGGGATAATCTCGTCACCCATCTTATTTTGTTTTAATCTCGTCACGCTCTCAACTTGTTTTAATGTTATCACTCGTCTCATCTTGCTTTAATCTCGTCGCCCACCTCAGCTTGCTTTAATCTCGTCACCCATCTCATCTTTTTGAATCTCATCACCCATCTCGACTTGTTTTAATCCCGTCGCCCATCTCAAATTGTAATCTCGTCGCCCATCTCAACTTGTAATCTTGTCACCCATCTCATCTTGCTTTAATCTAGTCACCCATCTCATCTTTTTGTATGATCGTCACCCATCTAAACTTGTCCTTATCTCGACTGGTTTTAATCTACCCACCCTCTCAACTTATCCTAATCTCATCTTGTTTAAAATCTCGTCACCCATCTCAACTTGTTTTAATCTCGTCACCCATTTCAACTTGTTTTAATCACGTCACCCATTTCAACTTGTTTTAATCTCGTCATCCATCTCAACTTGTTTTAATCTCGTCACCCTCTCAACTTGTTTTAATCTCGTCACCCATCTCAACTTTGGATAATCTCGTCACCCATCTTATTTTGTTTTAATCTCGTCACGCTATCAACTTGTTTTAATGTTATCACTCGTCTCAACTTGGGATAATCTCGTCACCCATCTTATTTTCTTTTAATCTCGTCACGCTCTCAACTTGTTTTAATGTTATCACTCGTCTCATCTTGCTTGAATCTCGTCGCCCACCTCAGCTTGCTTTAATCTCGTCACCCATCTCATCTTTTTGAATCTCATCACCCATCTCAACTTGTTTTAATCCCGTCGCCCATCTCAAATTGTAATCTCGTCGCCCATCTCAACTTGTAATCTTGTCACCCATCTCATTTTGCTTTAATCTAGTCACCCATCTCATCTTTTTGTATGATCGTCACCCATCTCAACTTGTCCCTATCTCGACTGGTTTTAATCTACCCACCCTCTCAACTTATCCTAATCTCATCTTTTTTTAAATCTCGTCACCCATCTCAACTTGTAATCTCGTCGCCCATCTCAACTTGTAATCTTGTCACCCATCTCAACTTGTTTTAATCTCGTCGCCAATCTCATCTTGCTTTAATCTCGTCACCCAGCTCAACTTGTTTTCATCACATCACTTTTATCAATATTTCTCACTTTCATCACTTCTTAGGATGTCGCCCAACTACGGCAGAATCAGTCCGCTCATGTTGCCGCCCACCAGGCGCCCGCCGCTCGGCAACCTCAAAACATCTACGCCCCACCCCCACCCAATGATCAGTATATAGCACAGATGCACCGAGTGGAATCCCTTAGTGAACAAATATCAATGCTTGAAGAGAGATTAGCAGATTGTGAGTAGAGCCATATTTTTCCCAAGTGCTATTTTATTTTGTCTTTATACAGCACGAGAACATATGATGATGTTGATGATCCACAGCACTTGAATGGCGCCATTTATCTGTTTCAAACTTTCAAAGGTGCCCGCTCCTCCAATATGTATGATATGGATATGCAATTGTCTACAGTGAAATTCTGTAAATATTTCGAGTGGTTGTTTCACATTTTTAAGAAAGATGTTTTAATATCTACCCAATTCATCAAAAACATGATGAGGTATCCAAAATATGTAAATTCCCAAGTGTACAGTACTTTATGCTGCGAAGTTGATCTCTTTCTTTGTTCGAAGTTTTCTTGAGATTTTGCTCTGGACCACCTGATGATGTCAACAGGTCCATAACTAGCATTTAAAAGAGAATAATTTTGTGTCTGTGCAGATCGTTAATAATGCACCCAGAGTAAAATGGACATGACGGAAGAAGTTTGAACGACAAATATATGTTTTGCTAATTTTCATGATATTTTCCTCTATCTCTCTCTCTCTCTCTCTCTCCCTGCCTCTCTTCTCTTCTTTTTCTATAAATACAGGTTCTTGTCGTAGACGCAACAAAGGTCTGAGATAAGCAAGGAGTATCTTTCAAGCTTCATATGCTGCTCTACACATGTTAGTCACAAAACTTTTAAGGTTATTATCCTATGCAAATTGCCACGCCCTCTATTAGCGCCTTCATACCAGTCTGGACTTCATGAAGCCACGTCTGCGCAGGTTTTTCTCTGTCCTACAACGTGTTGCAGCTAAAGTGGCGGATAAAGGTTGGATAGCCACGCCAGGACTCTGCGCGAGTCACGTTATCACGGTATCGAATAGGGTGAAATATGTCAGGAGTATGCGGTCACGCAGCGATTTAATTCTTACGAGTGGCTGTTTGAGAACCAATGAGCTTTCTTTGGAGAAATAATCATATAAATCTTTGGAATCTTACAGAGATGGTGCTTGTTTACAGCCGCAATTGACTTTATTGCAAAGGATTTTATATAGCTTTGTTTCCTCCGTCTGAGATGCCTGAAACCATTGCTGTTTGAATACGTGAGGGAAGTCCTTGTCCACCCCATTTTGCGAACAGTCTATTAACTATAATTATGTGAGTTCAATGGTACATATATGTATATTGTACCAAATATCATAGTATGGGCATTGTGAGAGAATTATCAATGATGTCTCATGTGGTCTAATTATCAAAATAAAACAACTTTTGAGCCACTAATAGTAATGATGTTACATGTTAAAAAAGAACATTTTAATTGTTTTGGGGTATAGGGCAATGCGGAGACATATGTGGTAACAATTTTCAAAAAGGTAATCATGGACAGTATATTTGATTTTCATCGCAAAATATTGTTGCACATAGATGTCGACAGGCCTTTCGGGTCATCAAAAGCCAGTTCGATGAATGTGTCACAGTGTTTGATGACATAAGTAAACTGGACTATTTAACTTTGATCCAATTAATGTTACAGTATTTAAATTTGATTTACCCTTAAAGATAAAGTTGAGTTCTGGTCATGCTTGTATGGAATCGATCGGGGAAAAGATGATCATGTAGCATATAACTATCGGTGTGTACTGCAAGGTTCTGGAGTCATCAAAATGAGAAGAAATTATGGCCCAGTCTCGCTAAAGTAACAAGCACTGTACACATAAATATATATATGGCACCACACAAACATGTGGCATAAAAGTTGGGCCTCATTTTTAAGCTGTTACTGGTCATATTTAGAGTATGAAAGCATTTGAAAAGCCATGCTGTTCAAGGAACATTTTTTCTCTGATGTTCTTCTACACTTGCATAATAACAATGATTATGCTCAAAAATTATTGTTTACCTCTCTAAAACTCAACCTTCTCTTTTATTGTGTTTTTGTTTTTCACCAAGTGGAATTGTCCAATATATTATTGAAATATGATGATGTATTAATGTTGTGCTAGTATTATGTTAAACTATGATAAAGTCTTATTTATACTAGATAACTGCAATGGCATACTTACAGACATCATAGATTAGATTATTGTTTAGTGTAAGTTTGTAGGATTGGTGGTAGATTTTACTTTTTAGACATAGTCAGATACAAATCTTTAAAAATACTAACTTAGGTTTGAAACTATTATATTATATATTTTTAATATGTTATAAAGTTAATGTAAGATAAGGGATTTACCGTGGCATTTCCTATGATATATAGTGTAATTTGTACTATAAAGATTTGCACTAACTTAACATTATTCTAGGAGAAAAATTGTTACTGTAATCTATATCTGTATTCACTCCTTACAATCTGAAACAGAGTATGTTCTTCTAACTGAAAGTAATCTGAATTGAAATGACTTTTTATTTCATTAAAATTATCCCTCTCTTTTTTTCTATAAAAATAAAAACTATTAAGATTATAAATATGCTTTTGAAAAAAGTGTTCTCTTTATATGTTAGATACAAATCTAGATCTAAAATTGTCTATCGTTAATTGGATAATAATATATACATTGTGTTAAAGTACATGTAAAAGCTCAAAAATTACATCAGCGTCCATATTATGTTGTTTTATTTCTTCGCCTTTCTCCCGATGGTAATATTTCGTGGTTGAAGTTTTTAAAAATGCGGTGAAAATGTGCTATGATATAAATGTGTAAAATATTTATTGTTTGACTGAAAGCTGTGTAAATTGAATTGTTCAAGAATGGGTGTTGGGATTGTGTTGTAACCGATTTATGCAAATATACTTCAAACGCATTTTTAATACACTACATTGACAGTTTATAGAGTTGTTATTTGTGTGTGTGTCATCGTTCTCGACCTAGCTTAGCGCATATCATACCGTGAATCATCATCATCTCTTCTTCCTCATCACGATGTTCTTTATCATTGTCACCATGCACGCGTCTGTTATCATCATCGTCATCATTATCACCACCATCATCATCATCGGCAACATCAACATCCTCATCATTATCATAATCATCATCATCATCATCATCATCATCATCTTCATCAACGTCATCCAGTGGCGGATCCAGGGGTAAAATCACGTGATTTTTACCTTTTTTGGGGTTGGGCCCCCCCCCCCCCTGGCGCTCAAGGGGGGTGCAAATTGAATTTTTTTTTGAGGATCAAAAAAAAAAAAAAAATGTGCTCACTACCCCCCCCCCCCCCCCCCCCCCCCCCCCCCCCCCCCCCCCCCCCACTGAGCGACTTTTCGGCCGGCGCGATTTTCAAATTTTCGGGAGCAAAAAAAAAAAAAGAGTTGGGCCCCCTCCCCTAAGAAATCCTGGATCCGCGCCTGACGTCATCATTATCACTACCATCATCATCATCATCATCATCAACATCATCATTATCACCACCACCGTCATCATCATCATCATCATCATTATCATCATAATCATCATCATCATCATCAATATCATCAATATCATCATCACACAACCACAACCACCACCACCACCACCACCGTCATCATTATCATCATCATTATCATCATCAGTACCATCACCATCATCGTCTCTTCTTCTATTTTCTCTTCTTCTTGTTCTTCTCCTTTTTCTTGTTCTTGTTCTTCCTCTTTCTCCTCCTCCTCCTCCTCCTCCTCCTCCTCCTCCTCCTCCTCTTCCCCCTCCTACTCTTCCTCCTTCTCCTCCTCCAATCTTCTTCTTCTCCCTCTTATATTCAGCAGCACAATCATCAATCTCCGTTATCACAATCCACATCACCATCATCATCATTGCCACCATTATTATCGCCGTTATATCAGCATCATCACCCGAGGTTTGCCACCCTACAGCCCGCAATGATAAGAAGAATATTTTGGTATATGTTACAGTTTTATTTTACAGTACATACAATGCAACGATAACGAGTTTCAAATAAATCCTCAAGACTGTGATATGATGATAATACCCTGTCCTCAACAAAATTACATAACTCTAAATTAAAGATTAAACAAATCAAGTTTTACTTCAGTTCAACGGAAAAACAGCAGTATCAGTTTAAGAAAACTAGATTTTTTTAGTAATAGATTTTGTTCAAGGATCAGTCAAAACACATACAGACAACATTTTTTTTCCGCTTTGCGATGTAACTCTTAAAATTCCGTTGGCATTGGCAGTGATTTATGACATTCTATTATACAAATTGAGAATATTTTCCAACAATAATAATTTTCTTGCCAAGTATTATCACATATCATTTGTATTTTGTATTGCAATGATAATTCGTTAGCACGATTGGTCTGCGGGTAAGGAGAGTTAGAGGTAGCAGATAGTGATATAATACTCCTTCCCTGCGTTTGATAATCAGTAGGGTAATATGTAACGTGAATTGGCAACTCAAAATGGTGGATACAGGGGGGGGGGGCGGGCGATGGGTGTTTCTCATGAGGTGCGCTCCCTACTTTAAAACTACTCCCATCGCATGAATGTAAATGCTTTGCCTGACTTGACGACTTGCAATCAACCTCTGCAGCCTATACTTAAAGAACTAATGCCTAATGAATGCAGTATTTCATTAATAGCAATTTGAATTTTAGCAGTGGCGTAGCATGGGTCGATTCATTGAAGGGGCGCTGGGATCATGGGGGAGCGGGAGACCAGCCTTACAAGATGGGTGAAATATGAATTTCCAAGCATTGAATAGGGGGAGGTGGGTGTGAGGGGGTGCTTATCATCTCCTCTTCACGTTACTTTCCCCTCTCCCTTTCATTCTTTCTTATTTTCTCCTTATATTTCTTTCCCCCTTTCTCTCTTTTTTTGCCATCGGTTGTGGGTACACGCCCCAGTGCCCCCTTAGCTACGCCACTAATCTGTAGGATATTTGAATACATTTGTGATCAGCCTTTTTTAATGTTGAAAGATGAGACCACGCATCTTTCGATATGCACCACGTCTGTTTAGACCCAAAAGGGCGTTGAATCGTAAACTTGATGCTAACGCCCTTGCAGCTCCAAGTAGATGGTTTGCTTTCTATACATTTTGCATCTCAACATCACCCATCCCATATATGATGGGGGAGGGGCATTGCAAACACGGCTGAAATGACATGAAATAATGTATTTAAGCAAAAAAGATCATTTCCTATACGCGAAACTATTTTTTTTTAAACAGCTGAACATTCAGTTTATCTTTGTGTAATCTATGCTCTTGAACAGACACAACAATCTTTTTGCAGAAGAGGGGGGGGGGGGTGCTTGGGGAGGGGCTTACACTGTATATTGTCGTCATAATTTGCTCCTCGGCATGCACATTTTACAATTGAGGTAAAAACGTAAGCATTTGACAACCAAGACAAAATTAATAAGAATGGTAACACAAAAAAGAAATTGTCATGTGTTAAACTTCGTTCTAGATACTGCATTCCATATGCACTCACAAATTTACGGAATCACAATCACTTAAAAGAATATTTGAAGATTTGTACAACTTTAGTTATATACATGTGCAATATCATATACTAAACGTCAATCTATCATTGGTACACATTTTTAGTTTGCTTCAATTCATAAATAACAAATATAAAAACAATATTTTGTAAATATATAATATTCACAACATTCAAACATTACGTTAGCTCAAGAATTTAAAATTCATCCCCTCGAACTAAATGCATCGACTTCTTGATAAATGAGAATTTGATTCTAAGAAGTTTAGAACAATGCACCCCTAAGGGTGTTGCACACTTGCATTAATACTAAATTCTCAAAAATTTGCATTTCATTATTTGTTTCATTTTATCATAAAGGGGAGGTGAATCTTGTGTAACGGTTGATTTCGTCCACGCCGTGAGATGCTCCGTCGGACAGTTTTGACTGGCATACCTATCCACTCGATCCGAGTGGGAGGAAGAATGTTGGACTCCTTCAATATTTGACCTTTAAGTTCTCATGTAGCATCGGACTTCCGGGGTTCGGCCATTTTTCGGACGCATATTCAAATGCTAGTACATGCATTTTGTTCCAGATCCTGCTCACAACATGCTTGTGACTACATGAATGCATCAGTACCACGTACTTTATAACCGGAGAGTTTTGAATGCTAGGTTTAAATGGTACGTTGCGAAGCAAGATGTCCGTCGACGACTGGCCTTGAAAAAGACAGATGAATTAATTCCACAACGTTCCATGCTTTTACGTCAACTTCAGAGTACCGGATTCCATTTTCGTAGAGAGTCAATTCTTATAATTGAACGAGCTCCGTCCCTGATTGTGTGTGGTTCGCTCTGATCACAGAATACACCCAGTTCACAAGTCTCGGTACATGCGTATAAAATGCAAATTGTCCCTCTACTGCGCAGCCTTTTCCCGCGCTCACGATGCCGACTTGGACCCATCGTTTCTGCATTCGCTGGATCCCGTCTCGACCGACCACCGAGTGAAATATGTGCCGCATCAGAGGTCCGCCGGAGTCACCGAAACAGGTATCCAGTGGTTTCCGGTTGTACCCGGCGCAAAACATGTTGATGGTGAATTGCGTTTCGTCTTCGCCTACCTCACGGAGGCTGTTGACGCAGGCTTGACGCGGACGTACGGGAATCTAGAGAAAGAATACGAAAGTTATGATTAGTATAATGCGAAAATATAATCTCCTCATGCAGCTTCTCATCAGACGAGAATTTATATTTTTTTATTTTTATATTCAGCAACTCCCGGCCCTCCTTAAATGAAACCAATCACGGAGTTACTATTCGGTTGCTTCTGATGTTTCCCACCAAAGATTCTCTTCTTTGTTTACCAAGGTATTAACAATTATTGTAAAGTTCCCTTGACAAGATGATGAGTAAGATCATAATGATACGAATCACAGCGAAATCAAACAGACAACGAAATCTACAACAATACTTTGTACTTGCAATTTTGGATCGTTTATTTTATATATGACACACACAAAACCAGAGAAAATATTCGACCTTTGATTCATGTTATCTAAACATTAGCTTTGAATAAAAACTTACAAACAACTTAATGAATACAAAATATAACATTAAGAACCTATATTTCATTTTATGTAATCCTAATAATTCAGAGGAAAATATATACTAGAGTTTACGTCATAGAACAAAATTAATACTCAGGACATGTTTCTGAAACTGATTAAAACAATGACGGACAGTGCATGCCTCTCTGAGCATTCCTTACCTGTAATTGTTGAAGGACATCTTCATAAATGGTGTACTGACTGCTATTAACTGCTACTGGTTTACTGTGGCCCCATCCTGCCACCATACCGAAGGAGTTGATAGCTACTAATCGTTCTGTAAAAGAAAAATACAGGACCAATCGATAGGATGATTAATACAATATCGTAAATGAATCATTGGTACTTCTTAACTTTCATGAGTAGACATTTTACACCAGATAAATATACAGGCAGATAGTTAGAAAGACAGACAGACAGATAGATAATAACATAATGAATTGATTAACGTCTTCCTAAATGATAATAACGTTCAGTAATAATGTTCATCTGCGTAGTAAAAGACAACTACAGAAAAATAGCTTATTAAGGGCATGAATGACCAAAGCTGTATTCTCCAATTATTGCGATTTTTCCCGCCACTGTATACATTAATTGATCCGACATGGATCCTACATTTGCCCCGCTGATATCCATTACATCAGGGGCTTTATTTCGTCAAAGATATAAGGTTCAGGCTATGTTTTCCAATGTGATTTAGGTTATGCCTCAGTCACACCGACTCCACACCGACCGTTTCTTTGATATCGGCAGCAATTTAATGATTTGTTTGGTCTGTAATGAATAAAAACCTATAAAAAAAAAGTAATCGGTCTGTAGTCGGTCTGGTGTCGGACTTGTCGGTGTGACTATCATATTCAGGCTTTGGGTTGGGGATACTGTAGTGTTCTGGTCCAAGATCGAAGTTGTGAATTCAAAGTGAAATGTTCGTTCCATATTTAAGGGTAAGGATTTCACTATACATGATCTTTTAGCGTATCGGGATGCATATAGTGTAATGTATATGGTCCTAAGACGGCCAAACGGAAGACCGGTCTGCAATAGACTAATTATTTATGAAGAAGCTAGACAAATTGGGATTAACTTATTGGCCTAATGATCTTAAAGCCCGTCTGTACTAGTTTGACCGGGGGATCAGACCTTCCTGCAAGGTCACTGACAGGTGGTTATCTCATCAAATAAGCTCTCAATTAACATAAGAAAAAGGGGATCATGGGGGACCAGGGGTCACTGATTAGGCATTGTTTGCTAAAAAGAGGGCGCAAGTAGATATAAATAGTGCAGTGGGGCTTTAAAGGATGTAAACTGTAATCTTTACCTTTGTCTGCGTCGGGACTAGTGATTTCTGGCGGCAGACATATTGCTCTAACGTACGGTCCCAAGACGGCTGGTCGGGCGAGGTGGAGCAGGGCTATGTCGTAGTCGAAATCGATGAAATCGTGCTCCTTGGGAAGGTAGAGACCGTTGATGGAGAAGACCTGTTCCCTCGGCGTACCCTGGTCCCGGATTCGGTCTGTTAGACCTGGATCAAGATAAATAATTGATGATGTAACAATCAACGATATCAAATCAACCGCCTAATTACCCTGATTAGATTGTCTACTATTTAGGGCCGAGGAATAGAAAAATAATCACTTACACTGATATTTAGATTGATTATTATTCGACTTGTTTCATGAAAACATGAAACGCATGTCATGTAATTCCCAAATGAAATCCATGACACTGAACTTACTGTACTCTCCTTAAACCACCAGCGAGGATTCAATGTTTCTTATACTTAATGACATATGTATTCACATAATATTTTTCTCTGTTTACAATTCAACTCCAGTTGAATCAGGTTTGTTGTCCCTGCAGTGTGAGTGAGATATCTTGGTGTTTTAAGAAACACAGCGATATCTAATACCCTTGATAATAACCATGACATTTCGTTTTATTCGACAAACCTTTGACAGCATCGAAAACCCACCGTTAGACAAGGCTTATAAATCCATCCATAATTACCTAATTTGACCTGAAGTCTTGTGATATCCTCGTCATACCCGAAGCAATGGCCCGCAGACATGACCCATTCATTGTCGATAACCGTACCAGCGCAAAAGAAAAACCACTGCAAGGAGAAAAGGAAAAAACATAGAGAATTAGATAATCATAGTCAAGTGTATAGATTTGTTTCCATGCTACTTTTATCAGAGATTTAGAGGGTCTACATTTTGTTCCGTTACACTCCTCAGAACATTGTCCCTTAGCTCTGGTAGAGGGAGCTCTTTACCTTTCTACCATGGTGTTCATAAATCGCAGTATTAAAGTTAACCTGTGCCGGAAGTAGAATCCTTCAGTATCACAGCATCACAGCATCATCTGCCTTTACTCTTACATGTCGATCCCCTCTACTTCTTTTGCTACATTTCTTTCTCTCCCACACTGTTACACAATAAACTCAAATGCCATTTCATGCATTTCAATTTTATATAACTATGATCATAATTCATAATTTCTCTATGTTCCTTTTATCTAACTATCCTTCTCCAGCGGAGTCATCGTAATTTAAATTGGAGGGGTGGTTCAGACTAAGTTTACTCTCCTTGTAGCAGCGCCCGACCTGACTCATTCAAGAATACATAAATAAATGTATATTTCCATCCTAGTTTTCCGTTGGCACTGTTTGCGGTTGTCCATAAAAGTTGGCAACTTGAAAGAGACGGGATGTTTGATAGGTTGGCTTTTCAGTTAGTTTTTACTTTAGAGGGTAATGTGGTTTATGGTAGACATAACCCGTGTTAGAAAAACCTCTAATTCATACAAATTAAGGTTTCCTTTAACATTTAGTCTGACCCACGTGACCCACGAATGGGCAACCCCATTTATCAGAATTTTGATAATAAAAATGCGGTGATCTCGAATAAATTGTACAGTTGTTCATTCGAATACTAATAATAATATGGGGAGTATCAAGCAGCAGTTATGAAATGCCATGAAAAGCCTTACCGTAAAATTGGCTATGTTAATTGGTTCATTTTATCTGATTACAATAATGGAAACCGGTAAAACGACTCCTTTGCCCTATTTGAGAGATGCATGTATCAAATATTTAAAACATGGATGTTTCACCTATTTTCAAATTTGCCAACCACCTAAAAGTTGTATTTGGTGACTACAGACATACTAAAGATTTTTGCCTAGCTCTCATAAGAGTAAAACGCAAGAAGCTTTAGTATATCTGTACTCGCTGTTATTCTTCGACTTTTTTCTTCTTGAATTTATTATTTATATTATGTCTGACCTGTCATACAAGAAAAGGCAAAAAAGAGTACATTTCCTTGATTCTATCAGTAGCCGACCCCTTCCTTGTTTCAAGGTTTCGCTCCCCGACCCCCACCCTTTAGCAGCCGCAGACCCCTTCCTCTTAGCAATGTTTTTCTCCCCAACTGCTAAACATTCCTATATCTTATAATTTAATTAACCCTCTTTTTATGGTTGCGATTCCTGGGTGTATTTGATGCCTATCTAACCACGGCAAGAGGCAAACATTTGGGCAAGGAAATGTATTAACGTTTCCTCCAACAAAGACATAAAAACCGCCAGTTGACTGCTCGGAAAGGGCGCTGGGATTTCCGCCAACAGAGGGGGTGATTTCCTTTCAGGTGCGAAGGTCTAAAAGCCAGCACTGTGCAATGGAAACTGTTTTTGCTTGCCCTATAGGGAACTGTCAGTTATTCCACAGAAATGATTCATATTACATCAATGAAGACAAATAACTTCCAATGAAAGCTTAGAAGAATGCTCTACATAAACTGTCATCATATAAACTGATGTTTGAAAGATTATTTTCTGGAATTTCTAAATTGACTAACGCTTTAATTTTAACGCCGTGGCGTATGTGGACAGTATGATAAAGTGATTAATACACGTAGATCAAAGAAGGTTTTGAATTTCCCTCGCGTTTGTATCCTACTCATCATTTTATAAATCACATGTAACCCTCCTCCTGCACTTACCAGCATAATAATTATTGTAATCAAAGATTCATGGCGTGTTTCGGTAGCGTTTTCAAATGTTGGATATCTCATAGAGCTGAGTGTACCTAGCAGGCCTTAGACTCAATTCAATTCTTATTGTCTTTGGGCCATTCAACTGAGAGGGGCGTGGATACGCCATCATATTTTAATGTATGATAGTCGTATTAACAATGTCGATATTATCACTTACTGAGCCGTCAGCCCTCTGCCAATATATAGCGGCTTGCCATGGCCAAGCTGCCTCGTTAGCTTCGTAACCGCCGACCACACGACCCCTTAACTTCTGGCCGATGTCGCCCGCCTTACCGCACTGAGAATAATCTTCACCAGGTACTGTGATTACAGAAAAGAAAATACGAGAAAAGTCAGAATATTGTTAATTTAGAGTGACACACAGCTGCATGCAAATAATAAATTACATTGTAATTTCTAAAGTTCAAAATCAAACATATTTCACCCTACCAAATGCAAACATATCAACCCGGGTCGAAGGAGACAATTGTCGACAACTTATGTCTTGTCTACAGCATAAGCATCTGGTTAGGATCTTCAAAGCCAAAATCTAAGTCCATGATTGAAAAAGTGACTGCAATTCTACTGTGTATGCTCTCTAATCATGACATCGATCTTCTATGATCTTTAATTTGCCAACTGATTAATTTAGTCATGAAAATTAAATAATAATCACACATAATCATTCTTAAAACGACAAGGTAATATGTTGCGGGGCTATATGTTAAAGCTTAATGGTCCTCTCGAGTTTTTGTTAATAGAACCAAGGAGTAATCAAACCTTTATAAAACAATTTTGAAGGAAACCAGCAAAAATCATTTATCATGAAAGTGAATTATCAAGAAGTAAAATATTGATTGTTATATTACGACAACTTGCTGGAAATTACAGGGATCGGCATACTTTTAATTTCTTAAAAAATAGAATTAAAATTAAACAACATTAAATTGTAAATAGTCTCTTGAGACCCAAAAGGATGTTAACTTACAGCCCTCATAGTTACCCCCCTTCTGGCTCTCAACAGAGGAAATGTGCCATTTATATCGTTAGATTCCATATTTTAAATTCTATACCTTCAGTGTAACTTTTGTTGGATTCTATGAAAATGACATATTTTGCGCTAAACAATCAAGACTACATTTAAATCATTATAATATTAACTCTCTATCTTTCTGTTGTAAGGGTGTAGCTGGGGTGTCAATCATTACAATACAGAAAGGTGGAAGAAAGGAATATACCAGTTCTTACATCTTGGTAGGAGGTCTCGTGGTTCCTCTGTGGTGGTAATGATGGTGGTAGGAATAGTGGTAGGACGTGGTGAGGTGGGTGGTGGGTCCGTCTTAGGGTAGTCGCAAGTTGGTATGTTACCAGCCCAGTCACCATACCAACAGGTAATCTGTAGAGGGAGAGAGAGGGGGGAAGAGAGGTTGAGAGACAGAGAGACGGATAGAGAACCAGGAGGGAGGGAGAGAGGGAAGGAGGAGCAGAAGGAGAAGAGGAGAGAATTACGTAGGTTGAAAAATAAATAGAGACAGAAGGAAGATAGAAAGAAGAGATGATATAATGAAAATAAAACAAAAAGACAAAAATAGATATTAGAACAGACATCATTTCTCTGATAATTTCTCCTCATTGATGTCTCAAATAACTTTACGATTGTAGCTGTGCAATTTCGAAGAAATAGATATAGCAACGTAAAAGAGAGATGATACTGAATATGATGGTGGGATGGTGGTGGTGATGCTGTTGGTGGTGGTGGTGGTGGTGGTGGTGGTGTTGGTGGACAGGTGGTGGTAGTGAATGTGGTGGTTGTGTCGATCGATTAAATGGTAATGATGTGAATACTTGGCGAAGAAAGAAAACTAATAACCACTGAATGATATTTTGTATTGCAATTTTTTTGCAATTTCAACGACCACCGGATGCAATTTTATATTAGAATTGCACTCATAAATGACAAAGAAAATACATTTATATGGAGATAAAACGTTTATCTGGCAAGAAAACAGCAGAGGCATATCATATTCACTCCGGGGCGAGACCGAGAAACAAAACCATAAATTGTCTACACCGTCTGCCATATGTATCACACCTGTGCCGGGTCATCAGAATAAAATATACCCCCGCATCACCAATATCGTCCCGACATCTTGCACTTGACACATTTATGACCTTCGACCTCTAACTTTCAATGTCAAAGGTCACACGGCAAAGAATATTCTTAGGTCTGTGCCAGTCTGGTTTTAGAATGTCAAGGATGTTCGGGGACTGTGATGTCAAACAAAGCCTTCATAATTTTAGTCACGTTTCATAGGTTTTCTTATTTAGATGTTTACTCCATTAAACTCACTTTCCACAATTACGGATAGGATGCAAACAATAATTATTCTTAGGTCATAGTACTAGTAGTAGTAGTATAAAAGTAGTGGAAGTAGTAGTAGTAGTAGTAGTAGTAGTAGTAGTAGTAGTAGTAGTAGTAGTAGTAGTAGTAATAGTAGTAGTAGTACGGTAGTGGTGGTAGTGGTAGTAGTAGTAGTAGTAGTAGTAGTAGTAGTAGTAGTAGTAGTAGTAGTAGTAGTAGTAGACACTTACTTGAGGGGGACCCTGTAGAATATAAGCTGATGAACATTCTAATGTAAGGTTTCGAGTGTGAGGTGTAATAGCACCTGATGGTGCATCCACTATCCGAAGCCCTCGTGTTAAAGGCGGCAACGCGCAATGTTCTGAAGGAAAATGAAAATAAAAATAAAAATAAAAAATGAATAATAACATAATATATCATAACTTATATTTACATGGGATATGTGATATGGTTACATTATAAATGTACAAATGTCATATAAAATGAACAAGTACAGTAGTCGAGTGCTTTAATATTTTAATGAAGATCGTGGCGCTGTGTCACAGTACTTCAATCATACTTTTATTTCACTTTTCATTCATTGCTTTCATCCATTTCAATTTTCAGTTTGAATATAATCATACAGATATTACAAAGCGATTCCACAAATAGCATTATAAAATCAAATACATTTTCATATATTTAATACGAAGAAATTGAGGATAAAAACAATAACGAATTATAAATTATATCTTTAGGGAATAAGTCACTACATATCGATGCAAATTTATATTGAAACCAGAGGGACATGCCCGCATGCAGGGAAAAGGCAATTCTTTGAGCACCTAAAAGTAGTTAATTTAATAATGGCAGTTTACAGCAAAATTAAAGTTACGAACAAATATCGAATCGAATCGAATCCTTACTTGGTGTACATCGGGGCTCTTCGGGCTCCCATTGACCACTCATGCACGTGATGGGCGAGGGAGAAGCGCGTTCGGCGAACGGCAGACACTCGAAGTCGACTTGGAAACCGTGGACGACGTGGCCCTCGGTGACGTCGGTGGAGGAGAGTTGCCCCGCCCAGATGTAAGGTATTGAACAATAATCCTCTGAAATTGGAAAGGGCAAAAAAATTGATTAATCAATTAGAAATAGAATTAACCCTGTTCGCTATTTTCACTTTGCATAATGTTAACAACTCTAATTGCGCAGGTGTGCGAAATAAAATGTATAACAAAACACAAGACACAAGGAGATGAGAGAAGATAAGGCAAGTATAAAGAGGTAACCCTGGCAGCAGGAAACAGAGAGATAGAGAGAGTGTGTGAGAGATAGATAGAGAGAGAGAGAGAGAGAGAGAGAGAGAGAGAGAAAGAGGCAGAGAGAGATAGAGAGAGAGAGAGAGAGACAGACAGACAGAGAGGGAAATAGAGAGAGAGAGGGGGATTGGATAATGAGAATGACGGAAAAGTGAATATATTATTTTAGGAGAACATTGAATATGTCGAGGGCGATTTGAAAACCGGCAGCTAGTTTCAGTCTACGAGCACGCGTCTGGAGTCTGGACTGAGACATCGAACCTGTGACACAGAAAAATAATTTTCGGGTGTGTCGCAATTTTACCACTACCGTTCTATATATTTAAGCATATCTATCCTGCTTGTCAGATATTGTTGAGACATTCCCTCCACCCATCAAAAAAAAACACTGGATCCACCATCGTCTCCAGCCTTCTTACCTCTTCCTTGTGCAATCACATCAATGTCATAGCAGAGAGGTATAAGAGGGATCCACTCTCCTGCGTTGCATTCGGTGAAGCCGTTACCCGCTACCAGGATCTTACCCGCGTCGCAGAATACCTAGGCAATCAAGAAAATAATAATGGCAAGATGTTAGGTTCTTAAACTGTATGGAAAGTTTGGTAACATCCTTCTAAGAAGTATAAGGATGTTTGTTTAAATATGCATTCACATAGATGTTTAAGTTAAAAGTGTATTTGATATTAATTTGTCCATGAAACAGGGCTTTAAGTGCCGAAGCATTGCTACCTTAGCGACCTAGAGATGTAAATAGAGACTTTTAAATACACCCTTTCCATTTCTGCTTCTTCTCTATATCCACAATATTTGCAAGATTTCGCTACAAAGTTTTGAAGTTTGGGTAGGATAAATTTCTAATAAGCCCCCCCCCCCCCCTCTTCCCGAAAAAACACTGTCTTTAAAATGTTACAAGACCTCAACATCAACATTTAACTCGAAGTAGCTCAAACCCTCCCTCTATAGCGAAGCCCATGAATATTTGACCATTGCAACCAAATTGATGATAAAGAAATAATCACTATAAGGTCTATAATCGCAGAGTTTGATTAGCTGATCATTATCTGATAGAACTGACCAGACATAAGGCAATTAAGTCAACACCTATCACTATCTCCTAAGCAGACGACCTATATCTACATAAGCTACTTATATAATTCAATTGCTTCCTACAATTTACTTTTCGCACCTCTAATGACCATTCCTTCCGCCCTTCTCTTCCTGCCACCCTGTCCAGACCAATCACTTTCTAGGATACCTGTTTTTGAGCAGCGTTCAATTTTCTTTCCATTTGACTTACTTTATCTTCTCGTCCTCCTGGATCAATATTCTATAGCCCCTTTTTCGTAGAATTACTGACATATATACATGTAGATGCCGATATTGTTGCGTTGTGGATTATTGCATATGAACTATCATGACTATAACAGATTAACAAACGTAAAGGCCCTCATCATTATTTTCTATCGCTTCAAATAAATTATGTTCACATCATAATCAAATCATCATCTATTCACAAAATTCAGAATGTTCCGAAAGCTCTGAGAGTTTTTTATAATCAATTTCAGGAAGACTTCCACGAAAAAGTGTGATACAGTTTCAATATTTTTTTTTTTTCTTTTTTTTCTTTTTTTTCTTCTAAATTGTATATCTGAACCCTCTTTCATTGTTATCTTGTTTTCCTTTCCTTTCTTTTCCCCCTTTATATATTGTTTTTCTTCTCTCTATTTTAATTTCTCTTGTCTTATAGATAGTTGAAGTGTTTGTACTTTGCTTATTTTACTTAATTTATTGTTGTGTGCTTATAATATGTTATATTTCTTTTTGTATTTGTTTTTCATTCTTTAATGGGCGATCCAACTTCACAGGTTTTCGCAACCTTCATGGAAAGCCCCGCATACAACCTTTGTAAACATAGTTAAAATTTACTGTTACTTTGTATATTTTGATTTTTATATTGCGAAATAAAATTGAATTGAATTGAATTGAATTGAATTGAATTGAATATGTTCACCGCCTTCAAAGCAGGATGAGTTGTTTTTCAAAAGGTTTTAAAAATCACTGTATCTCTTTCTCTTACCTGGCCAGAAGTACCCTGTGGGTATCTCCCATCCGTCCCCTTTTCTCTCGTGTAACCAACATAGGCTATGTTGTTCTCCTTCTTACGTAATGATGGGCACCCCTCTGCAAAGAGAAATCAAAATAAATAGAGACATTTGAATAATTTGGGACGATTATCATCATCATCACCATCCAATACCTGGGGCCCGTTTTACAAAACCTTTTTTCAACGACAAATTACAAAAATCAGTGACAAATCTGCTGATAACCAATCAGAAGCAAGGATTTCAGTAGCGTATAACACAAACTGTCGTTTGTCACGGATGACAAGTTTTGTGAAACACCCCAAGGTCTGTTTAAATACAGACAGCAGAGGTCTTGGCCTTCCATTTCTGTCTATTATCTGCAATTTGTAAAAAGCTGTTCTGAGTATTCCATAATATGTACCTCATCATTAATGTTCATCTGTTTTTCAAGTGAAATACTTTGTACTATTGTCTAATGTTTATTCCATGACAAAATCAGATTATTTATTTTCTTCCATTCAAATGATTTTATTTCTCATGCAAAACATAATACAATGAATAAGTATATTACAAACAATATATACAATGAAACGACAAATATAATAGTAATAGCACGAGAAAAGAGAAACCAACTAGAAACAGAGCTTGTTGAAGTATTAGTTCCTCAGAGGCGGTTTTACAAAACGTCTTGAAAACAAAGTATACATTGATTATCCTTTACAAACAAATACCCTTTTTGTGTTACCCCCGTCTGCCCTCCTCACTCAAACGTCCATTCTACCGCCCCTGAACGTGCTTGAATTATTTTTGATGTAACAATAATTCCAAGAGGGTCATGACCCAATGTATCTCAGGTTATCATCGGGGATTGGGAGATCGAGCACGGCACACCACGTCAATATATCAACACCGAACAGGAAATCAACTCCGGTGATGGGTTCGCAGCACGCAGGGGCGTCGCAAGACCATTTTTTAGGAGAAAAAAGGGGGCTGGGAGTCGGAACAAATTTGCCGACAAGGAAGTTAATATTTTCCAAGAAGCCAAACAAAGGGAGGGGGGGTAATCAAATGATTTTTTTTTTCTCGACTATTCAGGAAAAACAGGATTTCCACATTCGCAGTCGTTTGCCGTCAACAATATATATATATAAATATATATATATATATATATATGGGGGTTTCACACCCCATCACCCCCCCCCCTCATTTAGTAATGCCCATGAGTCTTGGGTAGCGTACCGTTTTATGTCTGTTTTTAAGATTGTTCGTTTTTTTAGAATGACCCTTACCTTCATAAAATACTGTCATTTAAATGTTTTCTTCTTTTAAAGGAAATTGCTCTGTGATTTGCGTCCCCGAAGTATTTTCGAGGGCATTGAGCATTTTTGTTTAGCTAGTAATTTAGTCTTGTCAACCCATTCCTACTCTGTCTCACCACTTCTACCATCAAAAATGATCAGTTGCTTAGAAACTGATTAGGGGTGCCCCTACCGTTCAAATAGTATAGACAGGAAGATCAGGGCATGCTTCTGATGAGCATGTTTTTTACGGGCGTATGCCGTCAGTCTACTGCTTACTCTATTTTAATAGTGGTAAACATTTGTCATGATGCCTCAAACCCCAAAGACTGATAATCGCAACACCGATCGCATCATGATCTTTATTTGGTGTCGGAAAACTTGCGATCAATCGTAAATCCTGAGCAAGAAGCCTCATGCACAGACGCTCATACTATAATGACACCTAATTAAAGTCCGTGTTTCACGATAAGATGGATAGCAACTGTCCATTAAGTTATCCATCTATCACACAAAGGGACGATATAGCTCCTTGTCTGTGATGTCGGCTGTAACTAAATTAGATTAGAAATTTATAATGAGGGTGAATGTGAACAGTGAAATAATGATGATACATGAGATGTTTGTAGATCCACAAGGACAGTGGGGCATGTTCACACAGCCATGAAAGCCGTGGTTATCCAGTATTTCTTTTCTAGACTTCTTGCTGTAGTTTTCACCAAATTAGTAGGTGACGTGTTTTGTTTTCGTTGAAAGAAGGAGAAAAAGAAGAAGAATTTATGTAGGCCTTTGTTCGCTTTTGAATCGTTTATATAGGCTACCAAAATGGAAACGGTGGCCTTTCTAGGCAGGTTCTTCAACATGGAAGCCGTGGGAGTGCCCCCTTAGAAGTACATCTTTCATTTAAAAAAAGTGAACTATGAGAGGTAGATCGTATCAATATTCATGTATTCATGATTCATTACTCCATTCCTGGAAACTGTGTAGAGAGTATGTTGTTTATAAGCTGCTTTGGATACGTCTGATGAGTTAATTATATTATGGTAAAAGTATGCTCAATACACACAGCGTTCCTCTCCTTTTCTTAAAACAAAATTCGGGCTACCCCTAGGGAGGGGCACTTTGTCTCACGCCACTAATTCGCACGTGCCCTTCTTAACTCTTTCACAGCAAAATGTTCCTTTCAATTTATACCAATTTCTGAAAGTGATGCGAGGGCGACAGAATTGTTACCGACTTCGATTTGTGTCATGTCACCACTGAGGGGAACATTCTATAATCACGAAGCTTAATGATAATGAAGACATTGGGCGTCATCTTCTAAGAAACGCGCTTCTCTGAAGAAAAAGAAAAGGAAATGCTACATCATGGTTTGCAAATGATAGTTAGGTATTTTAGAAACATCTTTATGGTTTGGGAACATTTTTAGGCACCTACTGCTTGTTTTTTAAAGGAATATCAAGACGCACGTAGTATTGATAAATGTTACTATTCTGTTCAAAAATTAGTACTTTTAATAAATACCAATCGTTAGATATATAGTAATTAACGAATCTGTGAACGTCTTTCTATGTTCAATGTGTCCCACATCCTTTTAGTGACTATCTGCTAAAATATTTTAAGGGACAGTGCAATGTTGGCTCAAATGATGTATTTTTTTGTTCTTATAGTTTAGCTATGCCGGTTCTACGTACGTCTCATTATAGGGTACGGCGAAGGTTTGCGTTTGACCATTTTATGGATATAAGGACACCGACTTGAAAATCTTAGTTTTGTCCTGTCGGTCATGAGTCTAATACAAATGTAGTATAACAACTTCATAATATTCAGGTTGTATTGTTTTATTACAGTCTAACCATATAATCAATGAACATGTTTTCTTTTATTAGTAAATTCGTACAATAAAGAGACCCAAACCATCAAATACTATATGTTTCAAGTTCAAGTGGGAAGACAGTCGTTTGCTATTATTATGCAAAGCAAAAAATTGGGAAAACCTTGGACTTACTTGGCTCACAAGTTGGCGGATCGTTAGACCATCGCCCTGCTGCTAGACAGGTAGACCAGGAACTCCCTTTGAGTACGTAGCCTCGGTTACATCTATATCTTCGTTTGATTCCCGCTACCAACTGTGTTTGACTGTAGAACGAGCTATCACCGAGTTTGTAGACCACCGAGCCATGTTGAAAGTCACGGTCGTCCTGACAGTATGCTGTTCGAAAGAAGAAAGAAGAAAGAAGAACATTTAGATTTTGCGTTGAAATGGGACGGTGGGGATGACGTAACAGTATTTGAAGTTTGAACGAATTGTATTCAGCACTTGATTAATTTTTTTCATTTACAAAGGCATGGATAAGGTGTAGGAAAAAGGCTACTGAGAGAAATAGCAATTATTTCAATTCAAATAGATCACTTAAATGCGACTTTTTTTAATTTTCAGTGAAAGTGAATAAATGAAAGAATGTAATACAGGGCTGGATTAGAATTGTAGTCTGTCACTTTTGGATGTACGGAGAACAGATTTCATAATCTTTCTTTAAAAGGATAATTGTGTAAATTTAAAATTTATACACGTAGTTATAGTAATGTTACATGACGTAGACATAATATCATGATTATGGATTTAGGAAATGTGTGGGCTATGGCTTATTCAGAAAATACAACCCGAAAATTCAACAAAAAAAGTTTGAAATCGGCCTCAGCGATTCATGACAACCTATAATATTTCTGATTACTGATTTATTATTCTCTTTCACATCAAATATTACTGGAGCATAGAGACGTTATGCTTGAAGAGCGATCTCTGATACGGTTTTCCCCGAATGAGCGGAGACTCGCGATACATCTGCTAATTACGATAACGACCCCTATCGGATGTTCGATCGACATGAATTTTAATAACGCCATTTCCCGCGCTTTCAACGGTAATCATTCGAAATGTTTCGGAAATTCCTTTTTTTTCGATTTGAGAACTCCAGGGGGGTGTTTCACAAAGATCCTAAGTAGAACTTAACACTAAGTTGGACTTAAAAATTATGGACAGCCATTGGAGCCTTAAAATGAAATATATTCAAAAGCAGAAATTCAAGTATTTTAGACTTTTTATAAATTCCACATCAAGAACATAGAATCTCCCATGATAATAGAAAATATGAATGATTTGAATCAACATTTTATGTCTTTTAAAATAACTTTTACAAAATGTTTTCAAGGATGCTAATGGCTTTCCATAATTTTTAAGTCCAACTTAGAGATAAGTTCAACTTAGGATCTTTGTGAAACACCCCCCTGGTGTCTCCGAACTTGCGGTCAGAAAGCTTTCAACGACTTTTCCCCGGCACACAAAACTAACGTTTGAATTAAAAGTTTGGAGTATATGGTCACGCCAGACTACTACTCTACGGTTATTTTTTACCATGTTTACAGTAGTCATGCTGGTAGTTCCAATTAGTAATAAATTATTACGCGTCATTTTGTTATAATTAGGGTTAGAGTACAAGTGAAGCAATTTCCTCTAACCTGTAGAAAAAACATTTTTCCTAGCGTCTGAATATCAACTTGACATTTGCAAAATGGCACCGGTTGTAAATTCCTTCACTCTTGCACTTTTTTCTTAAACGAAATGTAATTAGATAATTAAATCAAACGAATCTGTATGAATAAGAGTCGCATTATCTCACATAATTATAAAGGTGGAAATGTATTATTATTAATAATTATTGTGATAAGGACTGTTGGGTAAAGGCTTATTATCTAACGAATTATGGCACAGAAAACAGAAGATTAGCTTTATCAGGGAATTATTAGGCTGAAGCTAATGACTCCTTTGATTTATCACATAAAGCCAATAAAGTTTATACGTATTTAGGCAACGAAAATTGATAACCCGGCGATCCAAAAAAATGGTTTCCCATGGGAGGGGGGCAACCAAGCTGCAAGCGAATGTGTACGAAATGACAGAGAAGACACACTCGCATTAGCGACAGAATTTAAAAGTGTTGCGAAAAAACACTAAATACTCTTTATTGCAGAAGAGAGGTTCGATTACCGCCTACCCCCTCCCCCCTCTCCCGGCTCCGATAATGCTCTTCAACCTGAAACTGGATATGTGATATATCGGAACATTTCTCTCGGCGGATGCTATTTGACAGAGTTATGTTCATGGCCATCCTCAAATGACATATTTTATGGGTTCATGGTCGACAGAAGAAAAAAAAAGCATTAAAATAATATTTTGGAAAGGAGAATCCTTCGGGATTTCAAGTGCTGGCTGACGGTGGTGGGGTGAAAGTAGGAATATGTCAAGAGTCGATCTGTGACATTATTTGGCGGTCGTGTCCCACAGGTCGGACTATATAGGGGGCGTCGCCATAGTCGCGGTACTATTTTGAATGGGGGCAGGGAATAGGACCGCATGTTGCCAACATGTTAGGTAGATGTTTAAAAGAAATATTCCAAAATTGCGAGAGAAAAAAAATATGCTTGAATAGGATAGGGATGTCACAACCATAGCCCACTATAGCGATATCACTGTTTGCACTGTGTTTTCCATTCATCACTAATTGTTTCTTGTAGAATGTATGATTACATCGACATTATGTAAGATAGCAAGCACGAAAATTAGTTTTGCTCGGGGGAGGTGCGCTTGTGTGTGTACTCCACAAAGAAATTAAAAAATCTTTAAAAAAAAAAAAAATCATTGTATCAAAATTAAGTATTGCAAGACCTTTGTAAACCTATATTTTGTACATGTTATATTCTCATTTTCTACCTTTGACAATTTGTATTCATTTATTAATTTATGTACCACTTGTGAGATGGATCACCCTTATCTTTACGAGTGTTTCACAGGTTTCCGCATTGTCTTTGCAGATTGTCTAATACAAGCGAACAGCAACTGGTCGGTTTTGAAAGGTCGGGAAAACAGAGTAGCCCTCAAGTCCAGCCCAAAATCAAGAACACATTTTCAAATTGTCCGAAAACAAAAATCTTTCATTGCATGCGTCTCAAGTGTCCAATATCCTGAAACAAAATCAATTCACTAGAATCTTCAATTTCATTCAAAATCATCAAATGAAATTGTTTTTTGAATAGTCTTTGGACAGTTCTTTTCGGACACGGTCCCACGCGGGTGTTTCCGTGTTGGGTGTGCTGGGTCCCTGACCCGTATCATGACGCGGCCCCCTCAAATTTCGCACCCCTGTCGAAACCACCGGTTCCTCCCCTAAGCCCAACGGAGGATATCCACACCAACCGACTCAATTCAACATTTCCTCAATTTACAGTATCGTTTTAATCAATTTTAGAGGGGCACATCGGGGCAGAGAGGGAAGGAGTGAAATGACCCTTAGGAATATAGTTTTTACCAATGGCAATGCGACCTTGTTATCTAGAGTACAGCGATGACAGCGCCTCATCGCGTAAGGCAATGAAGCGGCAAAGTTTGCCAAAGCTCGTGATAGTTTTGCAAGTGCAGAATTGAGGGGGCGGTCGGGAATTAGCTGTTGACAACATAATTAAATCAGAGTCAAAACATGAGTATATTTTACAGCAATTGATATTAGATTGTTATAGTGATTACGAGGTGAGAGTGTGGAGGCGGCCTGGAACTGAATTATACAGGAAACAGAAAGTGAAAAGCTCCATTGAAGGATTAACATGCTCCTATTTTCATGCCTTTCACATCGAAGATCAAAGTTAAGAAATATAAGTACACACAGATGATAACATTCGCCTCAAATGTCCTGAATTATAGGACATGTTTATTTATAAATTCCTTGGTGATTCTTTTTTTGTACTCACATTCTACGGATTAAATATACACTGTATATATAAACGTTCCTGGAAATAAACTAGAAATGAGGCTCTCCAAAACATTCAGCATCTGCGATGTTAATGCATGAACCAATAACATAATCTCGTACGATTTAACCATCAAATTCCATGATACAACAGCCGGATTCACAAATGTAATATTTGTATGAGAAATGCAATGATTGCCATGACATTGCGAATGACCTTGCTCTAACCTGAAACTTGTCAATCATGAGTATGATTTGTTTTTTCAAGCGTGCAACAAAATTGTTGTCACAACGAGCAGTCGACATTGTCGGATCGCCCCTGCAACACATACTAGGAAACCCGTATCGTTCAGAAATTGTGCAAATGTTCGCAAATTCGTAATACTATGCTATTTTGATTCAAGGCTCATCCGCTATACCAAAATAATATCAACATTATTGCATTATCATTATTATGGTACCACATGTACATAAACTGACAATCGAATACAATTTTTTACATTATTTTATCTCGGTACGGAACATTGCCTTAATGACAACTTTATTACGTAACTGTACTGAAAGAAGAACAATTGCGCAAAGCATTACTTAATTGGAAAGAAGCCTAAAATTCCAAATTAAAACTTGGGAAGCAGACAACATGGCCCCAAGTTCCCAACCCCTTGCTTCCGGGACTAGACACATCAACAAGAGCTTGGAAGAATTAACTTGAGGGCTGATGACGATTTCAAAAAACATTTGGACTTGGCCCTGTAATCGCTTGTTGTTATTGAGTGAATAAGTATTCTAAATTGCGTATTTAACCTACATATTACACATCAGCCAAAGCTCGTAATAGATAGGAAGAAATAAAACGATGCGAACCGAAGCCAGTTATGACTTGCTTTCCTGAAGCCAGAGAAGATACCGTTCAGGAGCACGGTATCACCATGATCAACATAATCATGATGTAAGCGTCAAACCTCACCGAAAAAGACTCAGAAGGAAAGAGAAAAAGAAGTGTCAATCATTTCTACATAGATTTAAATATATATATTTATATCAATCTCTTCACGATAGAGATGCAATCTTTGAGAGTTTAAATTCCGTTAAACATTACCAAGCATTGGGAGGTCCCGATGGGGATCGGGATGAGAAGGTTGCTCGAGTTCACGTCACGTCCAGTCGTGTTTTCATTATCCCGAGTTAGAGAGGGCAAACCAGTCATTATCGGGGAAAGTCAGTGTTTAAATTTAAGTTCAGCTGATATTTCAGAACTGTGAAATGTGAACAAAGCTTATTACAATAACATTCCGTTGTGAAGAGAAAAGTGTTCTGAATCAAATTCAAAGTCACACTGTCATGTCTGGATTGTTTAGTCTGTAATTATCTCTGTGTCCACAGTGTGTCGATTGGAGAATACAGTGCGAACACAGTGTGTTCACAAAGCCAAAAATATGAAAGTGTTCTGAATCCACAGGCCACAATCTGACAAACTGGCAGTACAAGATTAGTGTGATCAGTATTTCACATCGCCAACACTGTAGCAGCGTTCAAAAAACACCCGTGCTCACACTGTCGTTCACTGTGGTGTTCACTGTGTAATAATCTATGTGACCACAGTGTGTCGCATAAATGGAAATTAGTGTAAATACGGTGTTACAACATAGCTAACACTAAATCCATTATGTGCTATATGGTCACGTATACTGTGATGCATTCACATTGTGCTCTGTGGCCACAGTGTAGCAAAATATGCTGCGCTGTGTGGGAGTAGTGTAAACATAAGTGTTCCAAATCCACAGTGTGGTAATACTGCATATGACAGTGTTTTCCAGACAGGGCTTTACAAATCAGTAATAGTACTAGTATAAAGGTCAATAATATAGTATTAATGACTGCTTTGAGAGAAATAGTTGTTTTATACGCTCAAGGGAAGGTTAGAATTGTGCTATTGCCCCGAGGCGTGCCGAGGGCAATAGCCCAATTGTAACCTTCCCGAGAGCGTATAAAAACAACTATTTCTCGAATATTAAAGCAGTCATTAATACTTTTATATGCCGAAAACAAAAGAGTCAACTAATGACACCACCTTGGCCTTTCTCTAGTTTATCTGCACGGTTGTCTTTTATGAGTGTATCTTTGAGAGTAGACTAGATCTAGATTCTAGTCTAAGCAAGATATTTTTACAATTTTTGGGGTGGGCCGGCCCTGTGGGAAGTAGAGAGAAGAACCTGCGCTTTCATATGACACCTCACTTATTGAGTATCACCTTCAGGATCACAACAGATAAAGGTTTGAATCTCGAATTGAAAAAAAAAACTTGACTTTTTTTGCATGATCGAGCAATGCACGTAGACTGCATAGAAACTGCATTGCGTGTAATCTCTATGGGAAGAATGTAGCACACAACATCGGGTGCGCGATCAGACACCCTGACAACTAGATCTATTTTCGTCTACGTCTATGCTGGTACTCCATTTTCAAACGAACATGTTTATGGATAATTTCACGTACCCTTTTTGTTGTTCTTGCTGTCAGCGAGTCTTGCATTTGATAAGTTGAAATCTTGGGACAGTTTCTTTAGCCTTTTGTCTTGTTTGGAATTGTCTTGTCTTGTATGAAAATACCGACCAATTCGCACACGTACGGTATCCTCGATCGCTCAGACCATTTTTTAACATGTAAACCTATGGGGTAACCATGGAGACTGACCTATTTTCCCAATAACCATGGTTATTGGGATTTTGAACTGTTTTAACCATGGTTACTAGGAATTTTCGGGAACAGTTAAAGTTTATGAATGCAATTTCGACCGATCAGATGGCTGGATTTCTTAAGTGAGGTATATAATAAGTATTATCTTATTTTAGTGACATTATAATGAAAGCACCCTACGTATTTACTTCTTCATACCCTGAACATGGTGTAACTTTCAGCTGCTTAGTCAGACCTACTCACACTACATGAAGATCCCCGGGCACGTCACGTTGTAACTGATATGAAGGAATGGGAAGTCGTTATCAAAGCTAATAATCGATGACGAAAATGTCAACGTTGATCACCTTTTCCCGTGTTTTGTTACACTCCCGCTCTTAATTGAACAAAGTTTAAAAACCTTTTACGTTGAGAGTATAGTGATTATATCTTGCTGTTGTAAATTGAGCTGTTACATGGCTAAGTTAAGGTTTGCCCGTGTAGTCAATTGTGTTTTCATCTTCTCTCTCTCTCTGCTTTTTAGCCTTTGCTCATAGCTTTTGCATCTGTAACACTACAACCATGTATTGCTGCAATTGATATTTGTATTTGTGTTAACTGGATTTTGTCGGTATTTCTGAATAGAAAGCACAAAGTAATTTTGTTATTTCGTTTGGGGGGCGGTAACATAACAAAAATATAAATACAAATGGTATATGGACACAGTTAATGACGATAGATTTGGCAAGCGTGTTTCTTTTCTTTCTTGTATGCGTGGGGGCGCGTGTACAAAAAAAAATGGCGCCCCGTCTAGATAATCTGCCGGTTTATACATCAATGTTAAAGTATGATAGGTCTATAAACAGAGAGACCTATTGCACTGATAGTGTACTTCTTGCTCATCCCTATATAAAACCATCGACTGCACTCGACAAATATCTTTGGCGTATTGATTTTCAAGTCTCTACTTCACCCATCCACCCCCTTTAAAACGTATAATATGTTTCAGTTTCTTTCACTCTGTTGTATCTCATGGCGCCCCCTCCCGAGTTTTATCACCCTCAATTACCCATGGGAGTACACCTTGGACAGTTGCCCCCCTACTCTGGCGTTGATGAAGCTGTACCGGTGTCAAAACAGGTGCGTTCGCTTCCCCGCTTCGCATTGTGATGATGCATTTCGAGACACTCCCTTTCATATTTCAGGTCACACAGACGCATCTAACGGATATCAGGGTTCTTTCTTAATTGCTTACTTATATTAGGCAACTTTCAGATTTTGTATTTACACGCGCTCTCTCTTTCGATTTCTTTATGTCCCCTTATCTCTCTCATATACGTACACACACACACACACGCCCACATTCACTTTCTCCCTCACGTTCTTACTCCATGTCTGTCTGTATGTTTGTCTCTCTTTTTCTCTTTCAATATAATAGTATCTCATCATCTCTCTCTCTCTCTCTCATGACCACGCCCACACGCACACGCACTCACTCACCCACATTATCACTTTCTCCTTCAATTTTTTTCCCTCTGTCTGTCTCTCTCACTCTCTCTCTCCCTATCTTTCTCTCTTTCCTTATCTCCCCCATATCTCGTACGCACATGCGCGCACGCACACACACACACATCCACGCTCACACACTTGCTCTGTATATGTCTGTCTGTCTCTTAATCTCTCTCTCTCCACTTTTCTCTTTTCTTTTCACGAGCACCACTATACTACAAACTGATATATCACATGAAGTTTTGATCCAACAATTCAGTTTACAAATAAGTATTGTATAACAAGTAAACTATGTTACTTGGCTGAATGGAAGAAACATGTTGCGTATGTATCATAACATTTTCTTTTAATGGAGGCTACGTTGTACGTCTTAATAATATTAGATAGTAAATTACTCCATATTGTATAGGCGTTTGGAGGGACCAAAACGAGCCCTCTTGAGGAACAAAGGAAAAAAGACAAATTGACCTTTCTAGGGATTAACCTCCAAGTAAGGAACAGGCCCTACCTTTACAAAAACGAATGAGTACCTGGTCCCAAGACTCAGAAGATTCTGGTCTTTATGGGACCATGAACGAGCCTGAAGTAGATAATGCTATTAAAAATTGAACGAGTAGCTGGTCTCGAGACTCGGTGGGACCTGGTCTTCATGGGACCATGAACGAGCCTGAACTAAGAAATGCTATCAAAATCCGAACGAGTAGTTGGTCTCGAGACTCGGTGGGACCTGGTCTTCATAGGACCATGACAGAGCATGAACCCAGGGATGTGAGGCTGAGTGATCAAGCACACAATCCGTCATCACATCAGCGTTCAGTCATCGGGTCCGTGTAGGCGTGGAAGCACTGCGGTAGGATGCATCGTATCAAGTTCGTGGAGCGAAAATGTGGCGACTTTGAGGGGAGACAGAGGAGCGCAATGTCCTTCCGAACAAAACTTCAAAATATTAAAGATAAACTTGAGTTCTGGTAAAAAAAGAAAATGAATTCTCACAGAATCTAACGAAACTTACACTGAATGTTCAAGATTACAAATAAATGTCATGTGCCAAACAATTTTGAAAAAAAAATGTATACTGGCTGAGTAATGAGCATAGAAAGATAAGGAAATCAGGGTAGTACCAGCCCCGACACCATGTGTGTTGTCCCATATAAATCTTTCTGTGTAAGTGATTGTTACTTTACCAAGACTCTGCCAAATTTATGATGATTTTGATGACTCCAGAACCTTGCATTACACACCGTTACTTACATGCTATATGATCAACATTTCTGATCCATTCCACCCCTTTTCTTTCACAATGCAATCGCATTACCAGAACTCAAGTTTATCTTTAAGTGACGTTTTGGCCGGGTTTTGTCAAGAAACAGACAGATTTTGGTGATTTACAATAGTGTCAAAACATTTTTTTTAAATTAATACCTAAAGCCCCATGTTTTTTATTTGAAAAGTCGATCTTCGAACCTTACTGAACAATAATAATGAAAATACATTTTTGGAACGCCAGTAACAACATCGAGTCAATCGCGTTCATTTTGTCTGACATTCATGTTGCAAAGTAAATTGATTATTTTTCTGATAAACAGTGGTCATTAATTTTGAACCTTCTATATCAACAATATTTCACGCAAGGTAATTGTATTTAGGACATAACTGCTGGTTTGCTTTTCGTTGAATCGTCATTATTTATCTCAAATTTACATAATTATCACTTGCTCTTAATTTCCTCATTGTGCAGTCTTAAGTTAATACCAATGAATAGAATCATGATTGTGGGCAAGTGACATTAAAATGTTTTATATTCCATACAAATCACTAAATATAATTAAAAGCGTCCAAATTCGATAAATGGTGATTCCCCGCCCCTGCCTGAAGAATCCGAAATGTACCGCGAATGCTTCACCTTGAATCACGGTTTAATGACCCGGAAAAACATTTCTACTTCTTCTTCTGAACGTAACCTTGGTAGAAGTGAGAGAGAGAGAGAGAGAGAGAGAGAGAGAGAGAGAGAGAGAAGGAAATAGAGAGGAAGAAATAAAGTGGGACAGGACTGTCCTTGACACGGCTTTATGTATGCCAGTGACTCATTAATGACGTCATGAATACTGTTTTGTTGCGGTACCTGGTAGAAAAACGGTAGGGAGACGTAAAGAAAACCCCGGTAGCCCATATCCTGCATGAACTTTGCACGGAGTGGTATGCAATGTCCAAGAATATGTCATTTCAAACGGAAACGACCTGATTGGAGTTTAATAGTGACAACAAAGTCAACGTTTTCCCCGAGTTTTTCCACCGAATCATCGAAAAACAACCCTTCTGATCGACTCAATTAGTTTTCTTGATCTGATATAAGTTATCTCTATGTTTCACTAGCATACATATGCTTAATGACAATATGTTTTTACCCTCTTGATCTGTCTAACAATAGTTAGCCGATGATGACAGTTGAGACCTACATTGGTTATCTTCCATATTACTATTATACATGTAAAAGGGGCTAAACATTGTTCCTAAAGGCCAGGCTTCTTTTATGCCTGTAAAAATGTCTAACTTTTTGTGAACTTTGTAAATGTCAGTCAGTCAGCACATTCATCATAACATTTTCATGCACATAAGTTACATTTATGACAAGTGGAAATGGTCTACTCTGCCCCTCCCCCCTCCCCCCCCCCCCACACACACACACGTACTCACACTCAAAATGGACACATGATTAGATTTTGAAAGTAGGCCTCGTTGTATATATAAATATACAAATATAGAGACAACTTTTCATTCGTACGTACTCATACCAACCACGGCTTGGCTCAAACACCCACAAAATGTGCATTTGATTAAACACCTACGGCCATATGAATCATGTACGTCGAGACATCGTAATTACTTTAACATCTCCATAACCTTGGAAATGGAGTTGTAAACTTGAAAAGTTACAAGGAAATTAAAAGGCGCCCCAATGACAGTTATTCCCGAAGGACAGTTATTCCCGAAGGACGTGATAATGACCGGATATAGCCCCCGCATAATTAACCGTATCGGCTTGTGTAATCATCACACTCCTCATTTTGGCGGTACACGTACTTACTATAAATTATCTGTATGTCTATCGGGACGTCTATGCGATGAACACGTAAAACGATTTCACGTCTGATGTTTCATTGAAATACCGTATGAGTTTGTTGCTCTCTTCCTAAAGAAATCATGATTATTACAAAATATGGACTGCCAACGCATCGCTTTCTTTGTTTTATAATCTGTTGTATTGTATGCAGTCTAACTGGTTATTCATACATGATTGTATCTACATATCAACTGTTCTTTTGATGAAACTTTGCACAATATTACAATGTAAACAAATCTTGACCTAAAGCGTACTGAGAACTACTGTCCCTGTTAATCCATTTACCTTTCTTCTACCACAAAATTATATATATATTTTTTTTTTTCATTTTTATTTAAATTTAGACATCTTCAATTATTGTATTAATTTCTCCTTTTTCTTGATCTTGCAGTTCACAACTCTCTGCCTGATTTCAACGCCATAGCCCTAACATGTTCAATATGTTTTATGCATTTTCACACACCTTCATAATTCTTTCTCTCCATGGCCAGTTAGTCTTTCTGTCTGTTCGTTTTTACGATTTTATATTCCTCTTATTACTTCACATCTTCTTCCATTGTCATCCACAGCCTCTGTCTTTTATCCTTGATTTCTTTCTTCTTCTGATGTCTTTAACCTTGACTGCCATCCCACCCCTATCCCCAAACCCATCCAGTGTCTCATCCCTCGCCTTGGCATTCATCAGGTCTAATTCCTGTGAAATTGATGAGGCTTTAAGGATCGCGAAGGGGTGCAAAGTGATGCGACACTGGTGTGAGATGGGAGAACCAAACCCCCTGTATACCATTTCTTCAAAGCCAAGGGGTGGTATGCGAGTCACAAGTTATCCGCCCTATGTTTAAAGGTAGCGTACATTTTACTTCGGCAAAAATAATTGTTGACTTATACAGATACATTCAGGAGTGAAAAACGTGCATTCAAGAGACACGAATTCGTCCTTGGAAAGCTAAATTTGGACAGATGTTCGTAAACGAAAGCAACTGAACTTAGCTTGCATCTTCGCATACCCTTAACACATTGATTGCAAGCAAATATTAAAACAAATACAATTGTTCATGTCATCATGGTCGTACACTGTAAGCGAGGTTCAAGCGAATGAATAATGGCAAAAAAGTGATATTGTTTTTAATGGACTGAATCGTTTATGAACTCATATATTATGATTATGTGTGCCGAATTAAGGTCATTACAAGACTGATTTATTAGAATACTAGTATATCAAAGACTATTGCCTTCAAGCATATATTATAGAAAAAAATTCTATCAGACTCTTATCACTATTGAAATTGAAATTCAACTTGATTGTTTTTCAGTTCTCTCTAGCTCAATAGAACCCATTTCAAACTACTCGCATCAAAAACTTCTACGGAAAAATTACAGGGGACTTTGTGGTGCATGTTCAGAAGTGTGAAAAGGGTTAACGCTTGTCTCCTTTAACGTCAATACCCCAGTCATACCTCAAACAATAACTTGGTCATTCAGTGAAGGTAATGTGCGGTTCAATCTGTTATCAGTCTGGTGTCGATCTCGTCCGA